ACATACATACATACATACATACATACATACATACATACATACATACATACATACATTACATACATACATACATACATACATACATACATACATACATACATACATACATACATACATACATACATACATACATACATACATACATACATACATACATTACATACACATACATACATACATACATACATACATACATACATACATACATACATACATACATACATACATACATACATACATACATACATACATACATACATACATACATACATACATACATACATACATACATACATACATACATACATACATACATACATACATACATTACATACATACATACATACATACATACATACATACATACATACATACATACATACATACATACATACATACATACATACATACATACATACATACATACATACATACATACATTACATTACATTACATTACATTACATTACATTACATTACATTACATTACATTACATTACATTACATTACATTACATTACATTACATTACATTACATACATACATACATACATTACATACATACATACATACATTACACGTACCTATACATACATAAACAAATACATATATACATGGGTATAATATATATATATATATGTATTGAACATGATATATAGGGAACCCTGAAATACCCTGTCGTCACTCACACGCGCGCCTCCTCCTCCTCACGGGCGTGTAGGGCGCCTACCGAGGTGGGCGAGGGCCGCTGCGTGGGCACCGGCAGGTCCACCGGGGAGGTCCTCAAAACGCCCCCGCACGGCTCAGGGGGTGGTCTGGAGGTCTGGAGGTCTGGAGGTCTGGAGGTCTGGAGGTCTGAGGGGGGAGGGGATGGTCTAGCGGCCGCAAATTGTTTTTTTTTGCAGGTAAACTGCGGCCCGAAGCATTTCCTTGCGATGTCTGGGCAAATAATAAGTCAACCGAAAATGAGGAATGGATATAATTTGCCCAAACAACTGGCTTTACTATTGTCAAAGTCCCCTGAAGTGATAGGTTGCCGGGACACACCCCCAGTTGCTGACGACAAACTGTCAAGTTGAACAGGTTTGCCCCACCCACCCAATCCCCCGTCGCACTTGGGGCCCGACGGCGCCCGCGGTGTCACCGGTTTTCGCGGAGAGGCCGTGATGGTTCGCTCCGCGCTGCTGGTGTTGACCTCGGATGGTCATATAATTGTGTCCTTTTTCGAGGGGTTCCCTTGGTTGGTCTAAAGGGAAACCACAGGATAAACTACCATCCCTAGGTCGAGCAGGCTGGCTTCCAGTTACTTCCCTCATCCAAGAATCCGAAAAGGAGCCCCCTGGTTTGAGAAACATCCATATGCTGATTCCGAGGCATTGGAATTTCAGGGGGTCTTGGTTTTTACTTCAGAGCCATCCTAGGGACCCAATTTTGACCCATCAGAAGCCCTAGCTTGTTCCACGGCTCGGAGATTCTCGAGACCTTGGCCCTAAGCCCGGTGATCTCGGCTCGGATCAGATCGTGTTGAGTTTAGCCAGAAGCCTCCGGCCAAACCCATCCATCTTCGAAAGGCTCCCCAACAGAGGCACCCAGAGGCTCCAACTGGAGGGCTGCTACGTTTCTGGGAGGCTACACGGAACATGCGCATCCAGAAAGCAGACAGCTGCAGCTTTAAGGTTGGGGCGGGATGCTTTAAAATCAACTTCGGTCACAAAAGAATGATCTGTAGATATGTTGCCCCCATTCTACTTTTCCGGGGATGCCCCCTTTTGGTATCGAAGGAATAGGCCTTCCTCATGAACATGCGTGTTTGGGAGTCGCTGCCGAAAGGTCTCTTTGACTACCAAACCCAAACCTCATATGTTCCGAGCACTTGGATGCTCTGAAATGTCTAGATCCAAGGAGAACCAAACCCAAAGCCATCAACTTGAAGGGTTGATACTTGGACAAGCGATCCATGTGCTTCCTCCTGAGTGGCCGGCCCATGGATCGGGCCAATCATGGGTGGAAAGAAATAAGCAGGTCAATCATGGGTCAATTGGCTGGCCCATGTTGGAAAGAAACAAACAGCCTGACAGTCCCTCGGATTGGATCCATCCGTCAACTTGGCTCGAATCCCGGCACCGATATTTCTCCGGCCGACTGGGCCCCGCGCGGAGTCCGTCGGCTCCTGAGGAATTGCGGGCTGGCACGGGTCGGTGGACGTTCAGCCTGTAGCCACAGGCGTTCTTTGGACAAGAATACATGGCACTGGTAGATGAGTAGAGCCAAATTCAATCCCGGTGTCATCTAGTTTGAGCCAATCAGGCCCAAAAAAGCTACCTATGCCTTGGAGATTCGCCTACAAACCCCGAATAAGCCGCTCACCTAGGTCATCTGCTCCAGATTCAGGGCCTGATGTGCCCACAAGGCTCCACAACAAAAAACAATATATTCAGACATATATACATTAAGAAGTCATAGGCAAACCCGAATGAATTGGAGTAGAGGCACACCCTCAAGGATCATGGAACCCCCCTCAATTGGTAAGGCCTTACTTGGTGGTATCTGGCCTTGGCCCTGACACGGCATAGTCAGCCGTTTACCCCGGGGGGGGGGGCTTTGGAGTTGCGGAGGGTCTGTTCTTTCCCGGGATCCTTCTTTCTAGAAATCCGGAAACCCAGGGAAACGGCCGATTTTCGAACGATGGTTGGAAAGAATGGGGAATCAACCCTTAGATCTCTATGTTTCGCCGGCTCGCCGTCTTCCTGTCCTGCAAAGGCGGCTGCATGCTCACCTCTTCATCCACGTAGTCCAGGTCGCCTGTGGCGTAGCCCAGGAATATGTACTTGCCCGGCGGTCATGGAAAAAGTCCATGCATACCGAGATCTTGACTTCACCGAAAAGGGGAACACTAGGAAACTAAAGTGGTATAAGATACGCATTGAGAATAACAGCAAGTGCTCAGTGGTAAGCGTATCGCATCAAGTGTGTGGTCTTCTCAGGTTGTGTCTAAGACCCCGTCACAAGGATGAAATGTTGGCCCGCGATTGGACCGAAGGCCACTTGTCTACTCGTGTGTTTTGCTCATTCGAGGAATCAGAACAATGGTTGTTCATACTATGGATTATACGGACACGCCAATTTAGCAAAAAATGGATAGCTGGGTACGTAGTATGGTGCTTTAATCTGCAATTTGCACAATAAGTTCAAAACCTGAATTTAGGGGCATGCGAGAAAAGGCTTTATCCCCATCGATGAGCTCGCCATAAAATCTGCAAAGCAATTCAACATGCCGAGTCATCTAGTCGGATTGTGGTGCTCCAGATCGACCTGTAGCATGGAATCCACCGGAGAGTCCCCACAAAGTTGGAAATACTCGTCTCCCAGGACCCGAAACGTCAGGTTCCATGTAGGAAACACTTCGTTGCTGTGGATTGGATTGGGGGCTTCTGGAGTTGAACCCCCGGCTTTTGCAGGGGGAACCCAATCAGGAGGGAAGCTGGATGTCGGACGTCCGAGAAAAAAAGAAGAAAAAAAACGCCGGGTCCAGCGGCCTTCCTCGGTGGGTGAAGGCATCTCGGTGGGCACCGGCAGCTCCTGGCCGAGAAAAAACGAAGTTCCTGGTGGCTCAGCAAATTGAGGGGATCACCCTAACCAACCCTTGTGGTTTGCTTTGAAAAGTCCCTGGAACCATTCCATTCAAGAAGTGAGCACCAAAGATAAAACTTTTGGAGCCTCCCACAAAAAATGCACAGGTATCGGGACCCAACAGCCCCGAAACCCCCGATCGGAACCGAATCTCCTTTGGAAGCCTCCCGGAAAGCTGCCACAAACCCCCTCACATCTTTCAGCGGTTGGGGAAAAAGAGACAAATTGATGTTCTCCATCTGATGTCGGGAGAAAATGGGATGTGGATGGATATCAAAAATCATCGAACCCCACAAAATCGCTGTCCATTTGCTTGCCATTTTTTGCCTAGGGTCGCGCCAACGGCTCGTTGCAACCATGGTTTGCACGACCCGTGTTCAAACTATCCTTCTTTGGTTTGCCTTTCAAGGCCAGCATCTGCCTGAACAAATCTAATTGTGGTTTAGCCCCTTTCCCTTCCATCTTCAAGTCTCAGGGTTTCCAAAACCGCAACCTCTAGCATGGTGCCAGCAAACTCAACAAAGCAAAAACACACACACACACACACACACAAGCTTGGCATGTTCGAGGTTTGCGCTTGCGAGACAGTCAAAGCATGTCCAGCCAAAGGAAATCTCCGCCACTAGAAAAGCAGAAAGCACTTGTTGGGCCACTGAAATTGTGAAAAACAGATTTTTTAAAAAAAAGTCTGCCGTCTGCCAACAAAAAGCTGGTAAGTTGGGGGTATCGTCTGTCCTCGACCAAAGCTATGGCTGATGGGTAGAATGGTCCAACACGAAAAGAGATGTATGATGAACATGCGTAAAACCAACTTCACCAGTTGCCAGTGGGTTGGAACTGTCGCGTCATTCACAAGTTCAAACATCCACGCAACCAGCAGCCGAGCAAGGCATGTCCCGAAAAAGGAAGCCTTATTGGGCAAAATACGGTCAAGCCAAGTAAGGGTTTGGGGGTCTGTAGGGAAAGATGGCCTGTGGTATTGAACGCCCAATTTGGAGCAGAAGGGTCCTAAAGTCAGCTGAAGTTCAGGTTGCAACCCCTCCAGCCTTATACCTGTGCCAAGGGTACCCCTGCAGCCCCATAACAAGAAGGAGGTCAGGTGGGTGCCAGAACCAAAAACAAGAAGGTGGTTTCAATCGACCCAAAAAACCACCAAACCTCCCCTTACCCCGACTCGGTAGTTTGAAAGCTTAGGGCGGTACCTTCCCAGAACACCAAACCCTGGAAGGTGGTTTGACCTCGCAACACACACACGGACATCCTAGTGGAAGAGCATGACCACGCTTCAGTGAAGACAGCAACACCATGAACCTCTGGTTGAGTGGAGGAGTCCTTTAGTTGTTTATTCAAGGCACATCCCAGTCTGCTCACTTAATTGGGTCAGAAAAGCCCGAACCAAAGTTCAGTCCTGGAAGATGGAACAGAGTGAGTCTGATTGAATCCTGTGTAGCTTCTAAAACCACAAGAAGACGGAATCCTGGGTACCTTCCATAACCCTAAAAACCATATCCCTTATCCATAAAGTCTGCAAATCACAAAAACGCTCGGTCAAAAAAACAAAAACTGAAGAAGAAAAACATAAAACAGAGTCGGCCTTCCATGACCCAACCAGTCCACGCACCATAACCCTTATCCATAAAGCACCTCTCCACGCAGCTCGCCCCTCCCCCCTCACGGCGATCTGGGCGGCTGGCCGTGGGCGAGGACTCCCTGCCGCTGGAGTCCAGCTGGCTGGCGCGGGCCTCCGAGCTGCTGCCGCCCAGAGGCACCTGGAAGCACAGCTGTCCTTTTAGGGGAAATAGATGGCCCCAAATCACCAGGTAAACCAGCGCCATCTATTTTCAACCAAAACCAAAAAGGACACCTATGCCTGGAAGCAGAACCCTCCCTGTCCCCTCGGGCACATTGACGCCCTTTGCGAATACGCCCCCTGGAACAAATAAGAACAAGAATAACTCCAGTGATAGACTCCCTCCAAAACCAACAGGGGAACATTAAAAAAAAACTAACCAAATGGAAGGAGGGGTCCGCGGTTAAACCAAGAGGTTCTGCAAGCAAGAGTGGTTTCGACCATGGTTCAGCCGAGAGGTGGTTCAAACAAGAGAGTGCCGGCTCTTTTGGGGATGCACCCTTTTCATCTTGGTAAATGGAAGCCCGAACCGAAAAGCAAGCTATTGGGTTTCCGGACTCAACTTTGCAATGCAGCCACATGCCCTGGTCGTTTGTTGGCGTGCAGGTTATCTAGCACAAGGGAATTGATTCGGGCAGTAGACTATACCTTCAGTGGAATTACAGCGCCAACCAAGCGACCTGAACATGCCGACTCCCCAACCGCTAAGGTTCTGCTTGGATAAATTCTGATTTTGCCTTAATACGGCCGCGTCCTAAAACAGAGGAAGCCCTAAACAGAGCTGTGTCCTGGAGGAATCCTGTCAACCCCAAAAAAGATACCCTCAACAAAAGACACAACCATACATATGGCTCATTAGGCCCTAACCCTTGGGGGTTGTGGGGACGCGTTGAAGGCAGTCACCGTCCTTTGCTCTTTTGGACCGGGGGATGGCGATCTGTCAGGGTTCCCCTGGTCAATCACCTGAAATCAAAATCGGGTATTTAAGGAACCTACCCAAAAGCCATGTAATGAATTTCAAGGGCGGATGCATTCATTTGCGGTTGAGAGCTGCCCCTGAATTTCAAGCACCCAGGTTTGGAACGTGGCTCACCAAAGGGAGACTGGCATTCCAGCGGCCTTGAATAGTTGGTGCCACCAGAAAGCATGGGAAACAGTTACTTGGCAAATTTTATTCAGTCGTCATTTCAGTGAAGGGCGAGGATGCCAGATGTTGTCAAACGTCGTTTGTCAGTTTGCCAGTCAGCAGATTCTACCATGATTTCCCCAAACACGCTTGACAACTCGGATTGGTAGCCGGCCCCCCGTGAGCCCGCTCGCGCCCCCCGAGCGAGGGCAAAAATCCATAGGATCCTTTCTCTGGAGTCGAGTGCGGGACTCCCATGGCTGATCCACGGGCCCGTAGGACAAAGTGGTTGGCATGTCTCACAAGCTCGACATGGCTCGAATCCTTATTGATGAGCCACACGAAGGCACACAAATCAGCTCCGAACAATGCTTGATCAAGAGTCGAACTGTTATCACGTACTGCTTGCAATATGTTCTAGCCACAACCACTGTTTGGATGATGGGACAACAAGCAGATATTTCAAAATGACAACATGAAGCCAAACAAAGAACATGAAAGGAAGACAGCAACAAACGAACATATGCGAAACAATATACACACACACACCAAACAAAATGCATATCGTAAAATGGCATAAAACAAGCACAACTAAACAACACAATGTCAGCAAACGGGCGAGCAAGCAAATAACTCACTTCCCGAACAGATTGGCCACAATCTAAACATCCACCCCAAAACAGTGACTCAAGAAAACCCCGGCAACTCAGGGAGTCAGAGACAATTCTTACATCACCATGGTGTTGAAAACTTAAAACGGGAAAAACAAAACAAAACGTGCTCTTTGGTTTTTGTATTGGCTTTTCGCTCCTGTTGCCAGCTCGCCATGTTGAGCCGCTTGGCCAAGAGCAACAAAAAGAAAAAGCGGCGCCGCCGGCCGTGCGAGCCTGCGGCGGCGGTGGCCGCGGCAGCAGCGTGGGGGCCTGAGGATCGGAGTCGGCTCCTTCGAAGTTGGCTGAGGGTTGGGGGTGCAACAGGAAAGGATCTCGCAATCCCATCCAACACAAGCGTGTTGAAACAAAAACGAATTATTTTTGTTATTGTTTTGAAAAAAAACTCTACATGTGTTGAACATCTACATGTGTTGTGCCAGTAGAGCCGGCGAAGCCGGGTGGAAGATGACGATTTGTTGGCGCACCGGCAAAGTTTTGATGGGTTCTATGAATTTTTGGCTTCCTTTGAGACGAGAAACAAAAAACATGATTGCCCTTTGGTTGTTTGATAGAAGCGGCTCAGGGTAGTGCCTGGCTTTCTGAGTCGAGGTGCAATTTGTTTCAACTAGACCCGATTCGGGCTCAGGGAACCAAAAGCGGGTTGTACAGAGAAGGGGCAAAATTAAAACAGAAATAGCACGCGGCCGGCGCGGGGGGGAGGTTGGGTCAGAATGGATCAGGTGCGAAACTATTCTATTTAGTTTAAGCTGTGGTCTCAACCTTGACCCAGGGACTCAAAAGCACCCCTTTTTTCAAGGCGCTTGACAGAAAGTCACTGAGGAAATCGTTGGAAAGGGCGCAAGTAACCCCAGAAGCTTCACACATCAGCATGGAAAGCTGATATGTTTGTCATGGAGGCCGCACTCGAAACATTGGGCGTAATTATGGAGCATTAGCCTTAACATCAAGGTATCCAGGACAATTAGAACCGAGATACCGCCGGGGGCGGGCCATCAGGGGGTTACTTGGTCGGGTACGCGAGTCGTACTGACGTGTAACTACAAAACGTGCCTTTCCAAACAAAGTCATACTCAAAACCGATCGATATTTTTGCATAGTGCCGTGCCCTTTCTCTATGTGCAAGATCAAAAGGGTGATCTCCGACACGCCCATTTGCCGAAGTGACTGTCTGGTGACAAGCAAAGACTTTCGGGGGCGGCAATATGAGACTGCTCAGAACGCATGGTCCAGACATTATGCTTAGCCCTCAAATGATCTACCCTAAACCCTCCATTGGAGGGGTGCTTCTTCATTGGCAGGCTTTGGACCTCAAAACGGCCATGTTGAGGTCCGAAGAGTCTTGGCACCAGAAAAGTGGCGCTGAAAGCAACCAACGAGCCAATGTTGATCAACGCTGCACCACCTGCCTCTACGGTGCCTACTTCGTCAAAGAGCTCCGTGGGCGAGGAGGGCTTGTCGGTTGGCACCTCACGCGAAAAGTGTGACGGCTGGAAGCTGGGGTGGTGTCGGTCCATTTTTTGACAACCCCAAGGTAGACTTGAACCCATGGTTAGTTTAGCTCTGCCTGGGGAAAGTCGGAAACTGGAACCCCTGGACATTTGACACAACCTCGCCCGCAACTCGTAGAAGGGGCCTCACGCTTACGCAAGAAGCATTGCTTCTTGTGGCATTCAGCCGCACAGAAAAACGGTTGGAGGATTTGTTTCCACCTTCAGCATGTCGTTTTAAAAGCGGAGGAACCAACTCAGTGTTGTGTTCGTCGAAGAGGTCCCAAGGCAAGACTTTCAAGCCGGCTCCGAGTCTTTCTCTTGCTTGTGATGCTTTTTTCATTATCATTTTTCCGGGTCAACAGGTGCAACATGAAACATGTTGACTCGCATATTACATTTGGGGTGTCCCCAAATAGGGCGACCTCCAGCTGGGTGGTGCTTTGTGCTTTTTCTTCAACAACAACCCCGAGGTGAGCCTTATTATGTCGGGGTGGCTTTCCTTGAGTGTACCCTTTTTTGGGTTGGTTGAAACGACACCGTTTTGGAGGGGTCCACTATTTTCACACACACACACACCCAAACCTCAAGTGGGCATGTGTGTTGATAGTTGATGGCAAGGACCGCAACAAGCTGGCTGCCTTGCTTCACCCCCATCAAGCTCGCTCCTCATTGGTGTGGCAGGCTACGGTTTCTGACTTTGATAACCCCCCAAAACCAGGCAAAACTGGCCTCAGATCCCCTGCCAAAAGTTCATCGCTCAGCGAGTTTGATGGACCTACAAACCTAAGACCTAAGGAACCAGATGGGGAACCACAAAGAAAACCATGACCCCGGACAAAACCCCTCCGGTCTTCCCATGGTCCCCACCCCTCAACGTAGGGCAAATCACCGCGCAGCCTAAGGACCCGGCCATCTCTGGCAAGACCTGCGGAAGCACCCTATTGCGTGTAACCCGGTCTCTATGGGTGGCTGGTACCACTTTGAGGGCTGCTGTAAGGGGAAATCCAAAGGAAACCAAAAAAATGCGGGGATTGCCGGATGTGAAGACAAACCCCTATCGTGGGTTTGAAGCAAAGATACTTAGAAGTTAGCCTGTCAACCTGCCAACCTCACGTTTGAACCTACTGCTCACCTTGGTGGTTCGTTGATCCCTCAAAGAGAACTTCAAAATGACACGCTTCCCTGGGTCCAAATACCCTTTGAGGCTGCCTCTTAGAATGACACAATTTCTAGCCTACACCCAACAAGGACTAGTCCGAGTGGGAGAAGCGTCAAACGCAACTTGTCAGGGAATAGACAGCGTCAGAGACAGCGCCGATGTGCGACAAAATGAGACAACAAACCAAACATGCAAACTCAAGCATCTGCACGAAGGCCATCTACACCCCCTGGTCCAACTATATACATATGTTTCATCCCATGTTTTGTAAGATGGACAACTCGGAATACCTCGAATTATCATGATGTGGTGGAATCACTTGCAAAATCTTGCAGCTGTACCAAAATCCCACAAAATGCACCCACCCACCTGGGGCTCCATGTATGTGCCTTGCATCGCACCAAGAGGTGCCGACTCAACCACCCAAAAGGGAACGAATGGGGAGCCCCATCATCACCCTGCCTGCGTACGCACGGCGCCGGTCACCGTGGCAGTGCGTGCGGTTGCTGTGAGTGGCCCCCCTGTTCTCGTCAACGTGCAGGTTGGGGCCGTTTGCGTCTCCAGATCCTGCGCAGGCTTTTTGCGCCGAACATGATTGCCCATAGGGAAAGCCAGTTGCAGCCAGTGAAAGGTGGACAAAAGGAACCATTCCTTTTCAAAGTTGACCATCGTTAGTGAACCCACCTGAAGAGAAAAGGGCGCCACCGAACACCTGAACAACTGGCTCTGCGTTTTGCAAAGGGTCTACCGTTCAACTCCCATAATTTCGACCCAGGATGAATCAACCTCGTGGGTTCTTGTGGAGGGTCATACGAAAGTGATCTGGATGCTCAGTCACACTGCTTGCCCTTCGACTCATAGCTCAAAGCCTTCTGTGATGCCAAATTGACTGATACTCCATTCAAGGCTCCCTGGTATCACAGCGGGAATCAACCCCTTCTTGCCACAAAACTGATTGTGGTCGACAACTTTTGCAGCGCAGTGCTGGCTGCCTCTCGCCTGACAAGCCCAACATGTGCCCGGATACTGGGAAAAAGCCCGCCCAACATCTACAAACAGAGTGTGGATATTGAATTAGATTCCGCTCATATTGCATCTAACCTAAACTATAAAACCGTTTTGTTTGGAAGGACCCCCCGGCTTCTATTTTCTATTGCGTTGCACCCCTGTTTGGGGCGGTTCAAGAGGAAAAAACGCTCTTTTTGGGGGTCCCCCGACTTTGTTCCAGAGAAACCCACCCCAGCGCCTGGTCCCCGATGCTGGTGGGGGAAATCTCCGTGGGCACCGGCATCTCCGTGGGGGAGGACCTGAAAAAGTGCCGTCCAGGCGGGTGGCTCGTCTGTTGGAGTTGGAAGCCTCTGGTTTGGTGGTTTTAAAGGGAAACCAACCGGAAAACGGAAGCCATGTTGGGTGGTCCTAAAGAAAGACACGGCTATGTGGGTATCTGGGGGTTTCCCAAGACTTGGATGCATTTCAAACGACAACGTGGAAGCCACTTGGGGAAACCAGAGCCCAAAAATGTAGATCTTGGATTTCCGGTTGAAACTGGGGGGTCTCCGATTTTGTGTTTTTGTGAGTCGGCAAGAGATGGAACAGAAAACCGGAAACTATTGTGTGAGCTGTTGTGTACCCCAGAGGTGGGTCAAGACAGAAACTGCCTCGTCTTTGCCCCAGCCCCTGATATTGTGGGATAACATTGTTGTATATAGTTGTGTAGCCCGTATATGATGTCATCACAACCCAGTCGCAACCAGTGACCGGAAAGGTACACAAGTTTCCTTTCTGGGGCTGGACCATGTGTAGACTGCACCTACTAGAACAACTGGAAGCACTTGGACTGGGACTCACACTTATTTTTGCCCGACGTGAATCTGCCCCAGCGCGTCGGGAAAAAAAAAAAAAAACAAAAAAAACAAAAAACATGTCGAAAAGCCCAATGAGCTTTCTGCCGATGGGAAGGGGGTCACTGGTTGCAACTGAGTATGTTCTAAGAGCGGAGCGGTGGTCTTAAAAAAAATGTTAGTGTCCATCGGCTTTCCAGCCAGTTTGGTTCAAAATTTTGATCGATTCCAGGGGCTTCGTTGCTTCCTTCTGATCAATCAAAATGATCGATTTCCCATACGGGCGCCCACACTATCAGGATCCTTGGTATCTTTTCCCCCTTCAATTGGGGGGAGAGCAAGGGGTCAACCTCGGATAAACTACCCCCATTTCCTTCCAGATGGAACAAAGTGGAGCCGAAGACGGGGAGGCCCAACGGGCCACCAAATGGCCATGGGTCAAAATCCAAATCGTACCCCCAGTGAGCATCCCAATCATCACTAAAATAGGTCCTCAAATGGGTGGTGAATTCACCGACCCATGGTTTTGACCCACAGCCAAAAATCTGAGGGGCTGTACTCCCGCAGGAAAGACCTTGAGGCCCCGGGCACTAAGTCGGAGGAGCGTATCTCCGCCCTGCGCGGCTCGGAGTTTGACTCGGCGGCAACGATTTTTTTGGTTTTGCTCTTCGCTCACGGAACCTGAAACCAGAGTTGCGACCACACCGTCATCCAGTGGTCCCAGAAAGGGTCACATTTCCTTCTGATTGGTTTGGATTGGTGGTTTTGGATTGGTGGTTTGGATTGGTGGTTTGGATTGGTGGCTTGGATTGGTGGCTTGGATTCGTGGCTTGGATCGGTGGCTTGGATTGGTGGTTTGGATTGGTGGTTTGGGTTCGTGGTTTGGTGGTTAAGGTACAAAGGCCCGGGCAAACGCATGGTTTCAACATGCGTCCTGATATCCGATGGCAAGTTGAAAAGGACGGATTAACCCCGACCCTCATCTTCATGTACCCAGGCCGGAGTTCTGGCTAATATATGTTGTTGTTGGCAGGCCCCCACTCAAACTATGCACAGTGCAGAGCAAAAGAAGGGCAACCAAAAAGCCATAGGTCAGTGAAGCTAACGCTCCCCCGGGCTACCATCGAAGCAACCAGGAACTTAGTCCCATTCACAGCACACGGTCGCCGGCTTTCGGCACCCGAAGCGCGTTTTGGCGAAGGTGTCAAGTCTGTGGTCCAGCTGTGGCTCCAATTGTTCAACGGGGCGAAATCGACGCCTCAACCCTGAGCCCGCGTAGACATGCCTCTCACACCTGGTAATTAGCGAAGCATGTGCTTTGCAGCCCCACTATGAGAACAATCGAAGAACCAAGGAATCCCCGAAAAGCCGTGCCAAGAACAGTGAAGCACATAGGTGGCCCTGGTAGATGATGAAACCGCCAGGTAAACCAGGGCCATCTATTTTTCAACCAAAATAACCAAAAAGGACACCTATGTGAAGCACGCGGGTTCCGCGAGGCCCTCCCAAATCTCAAAGCATCTCAGTGCTCAGCCCTCACCCATCGCTGGCGCCTAGATCCGGAGCTGAAGTCCTGATCGATGGACGTGTTTGCCCGGGTGGACGAATGCACCGTGGGTCGACCAAATCCACGCGCACCAGAAGGTTTGAATACGACAAGCCGCCCACCTAGTGCAGGACTTTGTCCACAGGACCCTTTGGTGGACATCGTTTTTATGCGAGGATTCATGTCCACCAAGTAGTTGAAAGGGTGCTCACCGTCAGAATTCATACCAACGAGTCGGGAAATATAGGCGACCTAAGAATCGAAACAGCTGCAATGGTCCGCTTCAAGGGTCATAGTTCTCAAACAATGCACCGGTGAAGGAGCATGAACGTGATTCTCAACCAAAATAGGAAACATAAGGACCCATTTGTGGCTGTGTGTGTATGTCAAAAGAAAAGGGCCCGGTTTCCCTGAAAGGATTCTCTTTACGCCAACCCCAACAACAAGGGCACCGTAAAAACAACGCGCACACCCATGTTGTAGCTTGGGCTCCAATAAATAGAGTCCCCGAAACAAGGGGCTCTTCTTTAGGATGTATTGAAGGTTGATGCCACATTCCTTTGTCGAGTAGTTAGCCTTTTTGAAAGGAAGGATCCCTGCAAAGATCGGCGATCCCTTTAAAAGCATGGCTTTCTCAGGGATACACGTGTTGTAAGCATGCCATCGAAGAAACATCTGCATTTGGGGGCGCCACAGCATTTCTCTGCGCTTGTCCAAAGACCAAATCTCAAGCCGCTGCGAGTCATATCCTACAAAGCCGGGCAGAGCTACGGCAAAACTGCATGGCTGAAAAGAAAGGGGACTCATTTAGGCCCTGGTAAACTTTGTCAGTGTTGCAACTGTCCTTTTGCGTCAAACTGCCCCAAAAGATTTGTCTGCACGAAAGCCAAGCTTCTGATGTGACCAAAGACCAAATCGCGTAGACTCGCCCATCAAACTGAGAACGCTATTGTATAGATCAACACCGAGAAGACCGGACGATGCTGACCGAGCAAACTCATTCACAGAACGAGGCAAACGATACATAACAGCAACAAGTAGCCAGGCCAGCCAAATGCATGCTCCGTCGCGGACAGCGCTAAACGTGTCAAAATAGGACCCAACAGATGGCCATGTTCCTTTTGGCTTCGCTCTAAACTCGGGTACCCTCAAGAAAGTGCATCCATTTGAATCCTGCTCTAAGCCTGTCCGAACTCGACCCTAACCAACCCTAAACTCGCCCTATCTCCCCAAGTTCACCCAAGCAAGCCCCAAGCCAACCCCAAACCCGCCCTCCAAGAAACTACGCCCTCTAGCAAAATTCATAGATGGCAACATCCTTATAAAACTCACCTGGTCGCATCCTTCACACCAACTGGCAAAGGTGTTGTGTTGAACTTGGCGAAAACGCATGCTTTAAATCAGGCAGCCCTGAATTGTTGATTTGGATTGGTGGTTTGGATTCGGATTTGAACCCCTGGTTCTTGTAGCGGGTTTAACGGGGAAGCCACTCCATTTCACCACCAAACCACCAGCCTCCAAACCACCAAGTGCTGAGAAGCTGAAAGTCAGCTTGCGCAAATGTAGATGTTTGCCCGTTTTTGTTTCTTTTCTTTTTCTGGGGAACCCTTTTTGGTTGGTTTCGGGGGGGAAGCTAAGGGCGAAAGCTAGTCTTTGGGACTGCCAGGCGTTTGTAGGGCCCTCGCGTTCTGCGCCGACAAGTTGGGCGGAACCTCCACCTGCTGCACCTCGGCTCCGGAAATCGACGCTCCGTTTGCTGATCTGCCACAAGTCGAACTTTTGGAAATTGTGGAAGCTATCACTTAACCCAAAAAAGCTAAAAACTTACGGGGATGGCTGGGAAACACCATTATATGGCTATCAATTTCGATGGGGAGCCTGGTGGTAGATAAAACCACACCTGAATGAGAGGGTCCCCATATGAGCCATGGTCAAAACTACATGTTTGCGGCCGTTTCGCTACTTGGTTTGAGAGTGCCCTATCGTTTTCCAGCGGTTTGTGCTTTCTGACACTCCTCACTCTACAAGTATTGTGGGAATGCCAAAGGCTAAGAAATACAGGGCAAGAAGAGGAGGAAGGCAGGAAAAGAAGTAGGGAGGGCTTGGTAGTTTGGTGCGTGCGTCTTGGTACTTGGCTTTGCTGCTCAACATTTCGCACCCACCCAACCCTGCAGTCCGTTTGCCATGTTTGCCGCAGAAACCTCGAGGAGAACGCGCAGCACCCTGCGCAAACAAAATGCATCCCCAGCACTGTGGAAGGAACTTTTGCGCTGCGCAAGTGGTCGTGCAATTGGTCAGGCCTCATATTCTGGGTGTTTCTCCAAATAGGAATCGGCCCCCCAAAATTGCAACATTGTTTGATTCCCTTTAAGCACCAGCCAAAGGGTCCACTTTGAGACAACCCATGTTGTGTGCCACGGTAAAATCAATGATGTCTTCCAATGATGTTGGATTTGGCGAGCAACCTCCATTCCAGATGCGCACTAGGTGAGTGTAACCCACGCCATCCCCTTTCGCGTAGATGACAGTACATATTGACCATGAGGATATCTGGTTGCTGGTTTGAGGTTTTATTAACGTACCAAAATGGTCTTCGCAAAAAAGTGACTGAAGTCCAAGAACTCGAGAAGTGAGGCACCAATTTAGGGGTTTCTTAGGACGAAAGGTAGATGACATCCTACAGTGAGGCCCCGGCGGTGGGCGGAAGCCGTGTGGGCGCTGCCTGGCCCGTCCCAAAGACCTTGAGGGGTAGGAACATACCCGGCCCAGACCTCCAAGACTCCCTGGGCTGCCTGGCTTTTTTGGTTTCACGGTTGGGCCACAGCTGGGAGCTGCCGAAATACTTGCTAGTTCCGCTGAATGGCAGGTTGGGCCAAAGATGAGAGCTGAAAATACTTGAGTTCCACTGGAGATGGTCCCTGCCCCTGCTTTTTGTGCTATGGGGACAAAATGGGCATGGTGACTGCACACTTTTGCGCGTCTTCGACCCGTGGGGAAACCGCAATTTTCCAGGTTGAAAGCTTCGCTGCAACACAGAAACCTGCCATCCTCCCTTTGGAAAAGTGAAAAACTCGCAGTTGAGTCGGGAATCCAATACCGTTTTCCAGAGGAAAACGGCCCAAGATTTCTTCAAAGGACAACACATTTTGCTTTACCCGTGGAACATGAAAGGAGCATACAAATAAACGACCGCGGCGCTTTGGGCAAAGAACCATTGTGGAAATCATCAAAACCTCACCCTCCCAACATTACCATGGCACCTTGGCATGGTCCAAACCAGAAGGCTCACCAGGTTCCGGTGAGGGAAACAACTTGGACTTAGATGAGGGGCAACTTCCTGGTCTCCAATAGCATTGGCTTTTGTGAACCTCCATGTCCTCATGGTGATTTAGTGTGTGACCCATGACATTTTCACTACTGTAGACGACTGCAAGTAAATGGCCCACATCTTGGGCAAAATAGTATGTTCAGATTCTGTTCCATATTTAAACATCGTATTTAGTCTAACCTAAAATGCGGAATAGTTGTTTTGGAGGAGACCGTTTTCTGAACCAAACCCCGCTCCGCGTGTGCTTCCGCTTTCAACCCTGCGCACCGTCGGCATCTCGTCCACCATGATGGAGGTGGGGGACGGCATCTGTGTTGGCACCTCCAGAAGCTTCTCGAAAGGAAGTGGCAGGAGAGGGTTTGGGACCCTACAAACACCTCGAGTGTTGGGGTTAAGAAGGCTGAGGATCTTTTACCAGGCTTGTTCTAGGGGTGGACTCGCCACCGGGTGGAAAATAGGCCTTGTGATATCAAAATGGGGATCCTTTTGTTAACCCTCAGTTTCCACCATGTCAAAGAGCTAGTAGCTCAAGCCTCCCTAGATTTTGGATATCCTTCTTGAGTCACAATCAAAACCGATCGGCATTCAAATGATCTACCAAACCAAGGCAAAGAACAGACAAAGGCGGCTGCAACAGAGTCTGGCTGGGACTGTCCCAACCTCCACTTACCCCGGTGTTGATGTTGGCTCCTCACTTCCTGAGTAGATTGGTCAGAAAACCTCCCAAACTCGTGACTTACCAAGATGGTCCAAGCCCAAACCCCAAAAGTGTCCAACCTCGGGATTCCTGAGTTGAAGTGTCCTCAGGGATCCTTACAATGGATCCACCTGAACATTGCAACTTGTAAATGGTGGTGTCCAACTTTATTTTGGTGAGAAAAAAGCCACATGTTTCAAATGGATGGGCAAAATGGAGATCTTTTAAGGAGCCCCGCTCAAACCACTTCCCTTCCAGGAACTCTGGTTTGCGGAACCTCCCGGGATTTCTCGCCTGGCCGGGGGAGGTGTCCTCTGTGCCTCGCAGGGAAACGGCGCTCCGAGGAACGCAAAAACCCAGCGAGGAGGTCCACGCAGGTCGTCCTTGTTTGAGTGTTCCCCCCCCTTTTTTGGGGTGGTGTTCAAGGGAAGCCGGCGTTTTTGGGTGGTGTTCAAGGGAAGCTGGCGTTTATTTTTTCTTTTTTGCGGATTTCAAGGGAAGCCACACAGGAAGCCAATCAAACTGTTCGAGGCCCGTGCCCGACTTTGAGACCCATCTGTGCAACCGTTGGTGTGACAGTAAACAATTCCGATCGTTGCCGGCCACGCAAAGGGATCAGAACAAAGCTGCAAAATGCCAAGAACAGTGAGGACATTCCAAAAGTGGCCAGATCCGTTCGTACAAAGTCGCTCTTCTTGTGGACTGCGCAGCCACGCGGAACGTCGCGGCCCGAAAAGGGACCAAGACCGGCTCTTAGCTTAGGAGTCACTCACCTGTGCCATGGTCAAAACAAGCTTTTGCCTGGGACTCAGTTAACTCTGGAGTAGGTTGGGATGGTCAGGGACCACCTATGCATCTTGAGTTTGTTCCAGGGAAGCCACGACCAGAATTGAATATTTGACATGCGCCCAGCGGCTGCATGAGCCCAAATTGGCCCCTTGCCTTTTTGCCGAATCTAAGCTTGCTGGACTGCTGTGGCTGTGGCTTCCATACTTTCACGACAAATCCGGTTGATAAACCAACTGAGAAACCTCGTTATAATCGTCTAACTGGGATAACTGGGGTGATCGTCCCCTTGCAACCATGGCTATGATCTACTAAGTAGCTTCAACCTTCCCCTACTGGGTTCAACGGAGCAGAACCATGAGTAGCGGGGTGGTTCAACGTTAACCAGAACGTCAAGGATACTACAACCCCCCACCCCAAGAAGTAAAAGAGCAACACTCCGGACGGTTGAGGCCTCATTTTGCCTTGGCCCCAAAAAGCGAACTTCAGTCCTTCACCTGGAACAACAAACCTGAAACGAGTCTGGCATCATACCCCCTGGACTCCTTAGTTCCCCGAGAGCACAGCCTTCCAGTATCCACTAAGAGGAATAGAAACCCTCGAGGGCTTCCATGCTCGCGCCAGCCCCAGAGTGGGGATCCCGGCTGCTGTCCAACAGGTACCCAGAGGAATGGCGGCTGGAGGACAGCCTCAGACGTGCCCCCGCAACTCTCGACCGGTGAATCTCAAGGGATTTTTGAAGTCGGTCAACAGGGCATACAAACCCTGCACCTGAGGTGTAGAAAAACTCATCCGACACCGAATCCTGTCTTCAACAGTCGGGATATCACTGCAAGATACGCTGCCGCCTGCGACGGGCTGTTTTCACATCCACAGCAGGTCTTCTCTCCGATGCAGTGATGGCTGTCTTCCTTTTCACTCTGAATCTTTTTAGTCCGTGTTCACCCGATCCTTCCGTCGCCACTGCCCGAGGCATCTGCAAGTAATCAACCCCTCATTGTGACTTCCGAAGTCCTTACCGATCTGCCTGTTCCAAGTCAGATCATGACCGCCTGTGTTGTACTTGTGCAAATCTGCCTCGAGAGCATCTAGCGGTGCTCATGTGCCATCCTTCCTGATTGGCCCAACGGTTCGGTGCATATTCCTCTGGCAAACCTTTGATCTTCAGGCGTAGTCTTGCAGTTGACACATGTTCTGCACAAGCCAGGGTTACCAACACGAGGAACAAGAAGGTGACCAGTTTCCGCGCAAGTGTCAGGGAGTTCCTCACGCGTGGGGTCACTAATACGTTGCAGTTCAGACTGTGATCGGACCCCATCATGCCATGCTCGAATACGTGTCTGCCAAATCGTAACCAAAACACGCTGCAGAACGGAAATGGGATACAGTAATGGCAGCGTATCGGGTGCAAACACCCGGTGTGTTGATGTCACTGCCGGACTCTACAATCTGCACTCGCTTAACCAAATACAAAGGACATTCCCATGACACATGCAAAATTGTAGAACCCCCTCTGTACGTAGGTGTCCTTTGGGAAAATACATGGCCCTGGTAGACGAAGAAACGACCAGGTCAACCAGGGCCATTTATCTTGCACCAAAACAATCAAAAAGGGTACCTATGCCTGTTTTGCAGCCAAGGTTTATGAAACATGGTCCCCCTAGTAAACAACCCCTATTAATTGGGGTGGATTTATTGATAGGGGGAAGGGATGAAACTTGTTGTTCCCACGTTTGTCTAGTCCCAAAAAAACGACTCAAGAACCGTGATATTTAAAGGGGGCGGTCGAACCAAGGTTTTATGCCTCATGTTAAAAGTATTTTTGGGATATGTTCCTTGCTGAATTCCTTGGTCCTCAAAAGGAACCTGACTTGTCGTTTGCTACTTATGACCCAATCCAAAAAGGATTCACTCAAGTCCACTGACTGGCACAAGGGGGCCGAAGGTGCGAGAATGGCAGGCCATGCTTGGGTGACCCTGAACCAATTGATTCTGACACGTAGGCTCGAATGGATGCTGCGCACGGAAATCGGAAATCCCCAGTCAACCCCGAGTCACCCCTCTTTCAACCCTTGTAACCCGCTTGGCGGCAAAGGGACAACAACTCGCCAGACCTCGGTTGCTTTCTGCTCCCCTGCTGAAAGCTTCACTTTTAGTGGTTGAATGGACAACCCATTAGTTGGCAAAAAGTTAAAGTCCTAACATCCAAGCAAAATGCACCAAAGAGACTATCTAGGGTAACAAATCCAAATATGCGGCCTTCCAATTCAATCCGACCGTCGGGGCTTGCTTCACTTGAAACTCGGGAAGGCCCTTCCATCGGTCCTTTACAAACAAATAGGTTCACCTCTCCAACCAACCAACAAAGAGGTTTCCCCTTTGAACACCAACCAACTTTAGGAGCTCATCTCCAAGATCTTCTCTGGAGGACTGCCAATTATCCCAACAAAAAATGGGCCCAAGTGCCACGAGCCGACCCACTCTTCCGTACTGAAATTGCCAATGTTCATTGCTTGGTCTTTGGCCTATGGGATACCCTCCAAAAACCCACCCCACTTTTACCAAGGATTCGATTCCTTGAAAAAGGCTGGTGCTTGGGTGATATTTTAACTGGCCCGCATGTATCATGGGGACCCTGTAGAACCAAACTCATATCGGTGGAATATGGCTTGTCGCTAAATGGGATAGACCCCCCCCCCAAAAAAAAAAAAGAACTTTTGAAAGGGCTGAGGTTATGATACGCAGTGTGGTCAAAAAGACAATCCTCAACCGCCAGAACGCGGTCAATCGCGGCAACTTAGCGAACCGGCTCCCTTGTTCCCCTTGCAAGGGCTGGGGCATCCACCGTCCTCGAGAAATATGTGCAGCAAACGCTAACCCAAAGCCAGTGCCCCCAGTGAACATCAACCAATCGGCTGTGGCTCAAAAAACCGGAATACCAAAATGGAACCCTGGTAAGTGGAAAGATGGACCAAAACCTGCGGTTTGCCCCTCCTGTTTAATTTTGAGCCACAGCCAATCCCCACTAAAATAGGTTCTAAAATGGGTGGTGCACCAATCCCCCAAAATGGGATCCCATTGGTTTTGACAACCACAGCCATGTGCGTCCGTGGCCCTTTTGTTTTTCTCCGGGTCTCCCCAGCACCAGCGGAGGCGGGGGCACCTCTATCTCCTGGCGGAAGGGGTTGCCTTCCATGAAACCCATGAAGCGACTTAAGCGTTCATCTCCTGAATCACACAGGGATCCTTAAACTATAAACCTGAACATTGCAACTTGTACATGCTGGTGTCCAACTTTATTTTGGTGGGAAAAGCCAGCCATGGTTCAAATGGATGGGCAAAAATTGGAGATCTTTTAAGGAGCCCTGCTGAAGGGAAGGGGTTTCATGGGAGGCTTCAAGGCAAGGGATGAAACCCATCCGCTTCAGTTTCAGACGCTTCTTGGGTGCTCAGTCAGATAGATACTGCCACTCCGGTGTGGCCGGCAATGCTGACCCAGAAGGAATAAGCCGCTGCTTATTCATATGAAACCGTCCCCGGTCTTCCCATGTGGGTGTGGGTCAAAAAAAGGTGCTCGAAGTGGAACCCTGGTAAATGGACTCAAGGACCAACACCTACGGTCCGCTGGTGGTTTCATTTTGACCCATACCCATATTAACAAACAGGGGTTTATGAATCTTGGGTCAACAGTACCGGCCACGGGACTGCGTGAGAAGAGCCCAAAAGCCCAGCACATCCGCAACACCGTACACCTACCTCGCCGAGGATCTTTCGACTCGATCCAGCTGTCAAGAACGCCAACTGCGTCACCCTGGTTAGGGGACCAGCCTCAAATACCCCAGCTATAGCCACGGCTGCAACCTACTTGCCTGCCCTTTCTCGGTGTTCGTTTGTTGGCTTCCCTTTCTTGAAAATCCTTGTTTGGTTTCCATTGTGGCTTCTCGTGTTGGTTTCCTTGTTTTGGCATCCCTTCGTTGGATCCTGGTACGAGCTCGCCATACAATTCTAGCTGCGCTTCCCGTTTTGCTGGTGAATTCGCGGTTTCCTTTTGAACACCAACAAAAAATAGGTCCACCTCTCCAGCCAACTTTAAGAGCTAATGATCTCCAAGATTCCGCTGGAGGATAGCAAATCTTCTCAAACAAGTGGCAAAATCGCCGCAGTATTTGTATGGCGATCTCCATTCTCACAAGCTGGCAATTCTTGGGGGTTCTTTGGGGAACAACGTGGATTACTCTCGTAGCCGCGTCATCTTCCAACGCCCCCCTGTCAAATTCCACGTCAACTTCCATGGAGGATAGTTCCCCAATGATCACTGTGAATAATAACTCACCTTTGCTGCAGGTGTATTACTCATTCATGCGGGCACAAGCTGAGCCTGGACACGACGACCAGGACAGGAAGAATGGGAATGCACACCCTGCAACCCAAACAAATGGAATCTGACTGGAGGTCTCCAGAAGATGATTCCTCTACATGTGCCTTTTTGGTCCCATGGTCATGTCAACCCTGGATGTTTGTAGATTAATAACCCCAGGTTGATGGGCAAAGGAGAGCGCAATGATTCTGCGTAACCCGCCTGGCGTGTGGTTCAACGGTTGCAACCACTATAAATTTGTTCTGATGGTATGTTGGTGCGTATGCCCCACGTCATCCCCATTTCTAGTACTACATTCGAATTAATCCAGAGGACCGTACCAAACAGGAGTGGGTCCCATTTTAGTCAGGGAAGGATCTATTTTACTGACTTCAATCCGAAGTTAACAGTACTGCACCATACCGTACCCAATGATTCCACTTGTCACTACGTCCAGATTTGAAACCTGCAAGTCAGAAACTCGGATTGCCCTGAGGCAGCAGAAATGGCAGGCGAAAGCTTGTTTGGGTTTGTCTCAAAACAGGGAATCAGTTTCCTTTTTGGTTTCCCCAAAACAAAAGCTATCAAAAAGGGTTCTCTGGAAAGAAAAAAAAAACACACCTGCTTGGGTAGGTAAATGTTGACCGCTGCTCCAATCCCATGCCGCCAGATTCCCCGCGCCTGGGGCCCCTCAAGCGCCTGAGAGCAACAAACAACACGGCAAAATGTAACTAGCGTATCGCCGCGAAGCACAAGTCGCGTTCATTGGAACCCCCTGACACAAGCAAATAAATTTGTTGGAACCCCCCTCAACCCACCCATCCAACAACAAGAAAGGCATGGTCCACTCAAGACGAGTGGAGCGCTCAACAAGGGGGTGCCGTTTCCTTACTGGATCTCAGTAGACACGCGTTTTGGGAATGAAGCCGGGGATTTCCTGAAAGGACACCACACAAGAGCTAGTTCACAGGGGACATTCCTTCATTCCCAGCAAGAAGAATTTTTCAGAGCACTTTAAGAGGGGCGAAAGGATCACCCTGGTAGGTCATTCCTACCCACATTTGGGTGTGTCTGTCTTTTGGGGAAGCCAAGGGCTGCAAAAGCAAACCAAAAGGAAAGCCTCTCGTCTACGGCTCAGGTTCGGAATTTCTTCCCAACAAGTGGGGTTGTAACCGACTACTCAGAAGTTTTGTGAGCTCCTTTATAGGCCCTCCTTTGTTGAGCGATTTGGGTCCCACACCTCCAAGAGCAAGGCCATATTGATTTCCAATAAGGCAGTCTGCAAAGGAATTGTCTTCCGTCGGCGTGTTTCCCCCGTCAGGCCCATACAACTAGCTCTAACTTGCTGGTGCTCAGGGAGGGTGTGGGAATGAGCCGGAAGGGGATTCCCTCAAAGGAAACCATGGAGGATAAAACGGAGGTCCCCCACAAAAGGGAGCTTCCTGTAAAAAGGGGGTGGGCGGTTTTGGGAGTTCCATGTTGGTTTGGAGTGTAGAGGATGCATCCAAAAAGAATAGCCAGCCAAATGGGTGGGTCTTTTCTTCCATTGCTTGAGGCTGCCCCTCTTTTTTTGCGTGGCAAAACGGACACCGAGGAACATTCCGTTTCCGTTTTTGGGTGACCCGTTCTTCCCAAACAACGAGCCCTCGAAGCGTTTCGGGCCGGCCTCGTCCAGCAACATCTCCACCTCCTCGAGGCTCGGGGGCTCCTTGCCGGGCTCCAGTGGCCGCACCTGCGAGGGCGACGGCGACGACGGCAGGCGGTGGGGCTGTTGCCGTTGGCGGCTTGGCTTCGCTTTCTGAGCAGAAAGTGGGGTTGGGGGGTAAGAGGTGTGCTGGACACTTGTCCTGGGAGTTGTTGGTTCAGCTGAGACAAAAGGAATAGAATCCATGCCTAGCGGCACAATGAAGTTCTAGTACCACTCTACAATGGCTAAGACCTACTCTACAATGGTCATGACCTCTTTTTCGCCATCCTCGCGCAGACTGTGGCACAATGTGAGTCATTCTGCTCCCAACTGACAGGGGGAAATTGGCAGAAACCCTCTCCTCAAAATAACTTCTGTTGAGTGCATTTCACATATTATGGTTCCTATTGAAAGTGGCAAAATGTCAGATCCATGGGCAAAGACATACGACATGGTGCATACGACAAATCCGGAGCCATGCATCAAATCCGGAAACCTTGTGGCTTTGCCTCTGACCAGCATCCAACAAATGGATTTTTTTCAGGATGCGGGAGGCCATTTCAAGCTCCACAACGGCGACGCATTGATGCTCGCAACTACACCCCGCGATTCATCTCCGAGACAATAACATTGTATTGTTCAAATAGACACACACCCAACATTCGCACAAAGGGAAAGATAGAGAGAGAGAGAGAGCCACACAAACAAACAGACAAACAAACAAACAGACAAACAAACACACACCCACACACACCCACACACGCCCACACACACACACGCCCACAGGCTGACATCTCCGCCCCTTCGACCTCGACCCGAGGCGCACCGCCACCGCCACTTCCTCGCTGGGCGACTCCGTCGGGGCGTCGCCTTGGCGCGCGGCCGCCGCGCAGCGGCGAAGTTTGGCCGACGGCCCCGGAGCCGAATTTGGGCGGTGCTTCGGGAATGCGGTTGAATGAACCGGTTTTGGTTGGATTCCCTGTGAAAAAGCCAGGGATGGATTTTTTTGGGGTCATGAGCCATTTCTCATTCCCTGCATCTCTCGAACCAGCAAGTTTGGTGGGATAACACCCAACCAAACAAACAACCAACCCCCTCAAACAACCAACCAACGTTGAGTCACCTGCCCACTAACAGGCATAACTGCAACGGCTGAGTGGGCTACCAGGTTACTTGGCCGAACACCCGAGTGGCTTGTAACTATGCAACAATTGTACGTGTTGGGGCTTAGTGGGAAACACACACGCACACACGCATTCTCAACTTCCCCGAGAAAATGAGAATCAACAAACAAACACACAACTTCCCCCCCCCCCCCGCACAAAACAAACTAGAGGACGATTGGCCCGAAAGCATTTTTCCACAGGTGCTCATCCAGCCGCGGAGACACCTTTTTACATCGCTGCGGCGAGCGTGTCTGCGCGCGGCGATGCTCAGTGTGTATGGTCACATGAGAGCTCCATCTCATCATCCTACTTTCCTCTCGAACTGCGCCGCGCGATTTCTCACGAAAGTGGTCTGCGCAAGCTGCATTGTTCCAGGCTGCTGCGCGCAAGTTGCTCTCTGCAAGCTGCTGCGCGCAAGTGCTCTGTGCAAGTTGCTCTGCGCAAGTGCTCTGAGCAAGTTGCTCTGCGCAAGTGCTCTGCGCCAGTTGCTCCGCGCAAGCGCTTTGCGCATGTGCTCTGCGCAAGTTGGTCTGTGCAAGTTGCTCTGCGCCTGCTCTGTGCAAGTTGCTCTGCGCAAGTGCTCTGAGCAAGTTGCTCTGCGCAAGGGCTCTGCGCCAGTTGCTCCGTGCAAGCGCTTTGCGCATGTGCTCTGTGCAAGTTGGTCTGTGCAAGTTGCTCTGCGCAAGTGCTTTGTGCAATTGCTCTGTGCAAGTTGCTCTGCGCAAGTTGCTCTGCGCAAGTGACTCTGCGCAAGTTGCTCTGCGCAAGTGCTGCCGGAGCTGCGGGGGTGTGCTCCGCGTACTACGTTTGCACTTAAAAGTTGCGATTCTCCAGCCGGAGCTGCGGGGGTGTGCTCCGCGTACTACGTCTGTACTTAAAAGTTGCGATTTTCCAGCCTGAGCTGCGGGAGCACGCTCCGCATACTACGTCTGTACTTAAAAATTGCGATTTTCCACCCGGAGCTGCAGGAGCACGCTCCGCGTACTGCGTTTGTACTTAAAAGTTGCGATTTTCAAGCCGGAGCTGCGGGGGTGTGCTCCGCGTACTACGTTTGTACTTAAAAGTTGCGATTTTCCAGCCTGAGCTGCGGGAGCACGCTCCGCACACTACGTCTGTACTTAAAAGTTACGATTTTCCAGCCGGAGCTGCAGGAGCACGCTCCGCGTACTATGTTTGTACTTAAAAGCTGCGATTTTCAAGCCGGAGCTGCCGTGGACCAGGGGGGAATCGAACCCGCGACCGCGGGATTGCGAAAGCAGGCGCGCAAACCACGAGACAACTTCCAAAGGCCGTTCCGCGAGCAAGAATATTGCACGGCGCCACAGCGAGAGCGCTTCGACACGCACAATCTCCGCAGAGGGTTCGCCGAGACTAAGACAAATTCGCACGGCGCCACAGCGAGAGCGCTTCGACGCGCACGATCTCCGCAGAGGGTCGCGCGCGGCCAGCAGAGATCGTAAAAAGTCTTCAGTTTTTGAACCTCGACCACGCGAATCTCCGCAGAGGGTCGCGCGCGGCCAGCAGAAATCGTAAAAAAGTCCTCAGTTTTTTAACCTCGACCACGCGAATCTCCGCAGAGGGTCGCGCGCGGCCAGCAGAAATCGTAAAAAAGTCCTCAGTTTTTGAACCTCGACCACGCGAATCTCCGCAGAGGGTCGCGCGCGCATGCTAAAAATCGTAAAAAGTCCTCAGTTTTTGAACCTCGACCACGCGAATCTCCGCAGAGGGTCGCGCGCGCATGCTAAAAATCGTAAAAAGTCCTCAGTTTTTGAACCTCGACCACGCGAATCTCCGCAGAGGGTCGCGCGCGCATGCTAAAAATCGTAAAAAGTCCTCAGTTTTTGAACCTCGACCACGCGAATCTCCGCAGAGGGTCGCAATCCCGAGCGACGATCAAACTCCCGCCCCGGCGCCTTAGAAACCTAAACTAACTTACATAGCTGCTAACGCCGAAGCTCTAAGCTCTACCTAACTTGGCTCTATGTAACTTGGCTCTATGTAACTTGGCTCTATGTAACTTGGCTCTATGTAACTTGGCTCTATGTAACTTGGCTCTATGTAACTTGGCTCTATGTAACTTGGCTCTATGTAACTTGGCTCTATGTAACTTGGCTCTATGTAACTTGGCTCTATGTAACTTGGCTCTATGTAACTTGGCTCTATGTAACTTGGCTCTATGTAATGTAACTTGGCTCTATGTAACTTGGCTCTATGTAACTTGGCTCTATGTAACTTGGCTCTATGTAACTTGGCTCTATGTAACTTGGCTCTATGTAACTTGGCTCTATGTAACTTGGCTCTATGTAACTTGTCCAAGGGCTCCCCACGGAAGAACCCTTCGCGATGCTTTCGGGAAAAAGAAGAAAGGAAAAACAAGAAAACAAAAAACAAAACAAACATGAGGATTGCCAAAGAGCAGTCAAGTGAACAGAGGGGATGCTTTCATCAGAAATGTGTGTTCTCGTGTCCAAGGTCCAGACGACATCTCACACGCTTCCAATCTCTAAGCAGAATGGTTGATCCTTTCAACACAAAGGTGTGGTTCCTCGCCTTGCACCGATCCCCCTAAAAACACACACACACACACACACACAGACACACTCACACACACACACACCTGGAAATATGTCCATGGATGTCCATGTGTTTTTTTGCAGGTTTTCTAGGCTTTCTCCTTTTCCATTCAGGCATCCTTTGCTTCAGGGAAAAAGAGAAGGCCAGAACCCTGGGCTGAATAAACTGCGGTTTCTGAACAGGAGTTGGCTGTGGGGCAAAAATAGGTAGCCCTGGCAAGTCGAAACATGCAGCAAAACCTGCGATCCCCTGGCGGTTAGTCTTGACCCATCACCAGTTGAAGAGAATGAAGAAGGAGCCTGCACCATCATGCTCAATGGGCATCCCTGAAGGATCCCGTTGGCAGGCTGGAACTTCTTGGAGTAAGTGCATCCAGCTTGAAGTACTTGCGCTGGCATTGGCTTCGAAGCCGCTCATTCGCCACGCTTTTTTCGTCTGCCCCACGCATGCGCGAGACGTCCAGAGCCAGGTGTTCCTGGAATGCTGTCAAAGCACTTGCGCAGGTCGTAGGACAGCCCCCGCTGCACCTGCTCCGTCCGCCTTTGCCCCGGGCACCCCCATCTGCAGACTTGCCGCCAATAAAACGGTAGCCAAGCCAGCTGCTTATGCCGACAGGAACCCAGGCTCGGAGAGACAAGCAACCCCCCGCATCAGTAGAGGAAAATGGGTCGTTCAGGTGCTTGTTGTCCTTTAAAAAGGAAGCCTGGGTGGAGAGGCCCACTGACCTATGGAACTGCCCCCCGCAAGCCCCCACCCAAGCCCCCCCCCCCGCCAAGCTCCACCCCCCCAAATCAGGGTTGATGATTTAAACATTTAAGCCTCTTTTAGCCCAAACAACACCAATGGCCTCTCAGTGTCGGATTCCTGCAATCCCATCTTTGGCCTCCTGCTGTCAAAGGATCCGGACACCGGTGGAGCGCTCATCGGCGGGAGCCTCGCGGCTGGCGAGTCGGTTTTTCAGCCTGTGCACCGCTGTCGGCATGGGCGTGACCATAAAAGACCTTTTGGGCAAAATAGATGGCCCTTGTACACGGAACTTAAAACCAATATTCCAATCTATAATCCAGCGGAACCCATCTATGTCTAGCCACACTAGCCTTAGAAGGACACCTCTCAAATTGCCATGTCTCAAAAGCAATGGGTCCCTGAATCTGGCGAAAACTGGGGTAATTCGGTCTCTCTATCGATGTCCCTTTCCAAGCATCCGAGTTTTTTTCCCCCGACAGATTCACATGGAGCTTCCGAGGTCCCCAAGGCCTGGACCCTTGAAAAACCTCAAGGGAAACGGCAAATCACATCTACCCAGTGCTTCCAGTGTCCTCCATCATATAAAACCATCATATAAAACCTGGGAGGAAACCCTACTATAGTGGTACTTGAAAGCACTGGGAAGGTATGGGCGTGGTTCCCCTTCAAAACGGCTGTTATTTTCCTGTTGGTCCCCTCCAAAATCACCAAACAAGGGTACCCACAAACACAAAGGCACACCTATATGCAAAGAGAGATGTAGAACCAGTCCTTCACGTTGACTGGGGTCAGCATAGACCCTTGGGCAAATCTAGGCTTTCCTGGTCCCGCAAGGGCACAGGCTTGTCCAAAGGGCTCAAGCAAAAAGTTAGGTCAGAGCTCGCAACGCCGCTGGGGACTGCCAGCGGTTTTCTGCAGGCGCTCTTCTCTCTCCAACCTGGTTCTTCGCGGCCCCCAATAAAAACGAACAGAACCAAAGAACCAAACACCAACAAATCAATGTCAAGAAGAATGGAACTGGAGGAATCTCCCCCGTGCCACCGCCATGTTAGGATCCCCAGGCACTGCAAAAAAAGACTCACTTGCCCAAAGACCCAGACATCAACGGCGACCTTTCCGGATCTTGAAACAGGAAAGTCAAAAGGCGTCCCTCTTGGACAGCCCAGGCCTGTCCTCGAAAGGTGAGGTGGGTCTACCACTGAGACCGCCAAAAGCCGAGTGACTTCCGTCCGCCGTCCCTCGTCAGCCAGGCCTGTCGTCCTGGTCCTCGATGGAGGACACCGGGGAGGTGGGCAGCGGGATCTCCTGCTCAAAGCTGTCTGAAGACGGAGTTCTTGTGTTGGGGGCCCGGCAACCCGTTTTGTTTCTTGACTTTTTTTTGTTGGGGGGGGCTTGAAAGGAAACCAACATTAACATGAAGACGAAAAGGAACATGGGCGATTTTGGGGGAACCCACCCACAAACAAACCGAGAATGGTAGACACTTAGGGAGACGTTTGCAACCGCCTTGTGGTTTTCAGTGTACGTGGCAGGGGGGCGGAGCCCAAACCACTCAAAGAAACAAATACAAATCAAGTAACCTCCTGCAAAAGGTGGTCCTTCAAGAGGATGTGGGTGCATCTCACGAGTTGGACAGTCTGACAGAAGGGGCAGCCTTCCTTTTGGCTGTCCCTTTGAACCAATCCCCAAGAGGGGTTCCCCCGGTCTGAGACAAACTCATGGCAATTTCAAGTGGGCCACTCAAAGGGCTGAGGTCAGACAAACTGCCGTTGCGGATGGGCGTGCACATGTTGGGTAACATGTGCCCCTAAACAGCCGTCCGGCCGTCCGAACTGGTTCGCGTCGGCTAATCCGATTAAACCGCTAGAAAGGGAACACATACTTTCGTGACCCAAGGGATATGAGTTGTAGTGGAACCTTGTGTAATCCATAAGAATCACTCATCTTAGCCCTATGACCCCGGGATGGTGCGCCAGCCAGCAGCCCCACCCAAAGAAAAGCAGCTGGACAAGCCGACCCATGGAGCCCACGGCCAAGGCCAACCATCCACGAAGGCAAACATCTGTTTGGGGCCGCAACCAAAAAAAGTAGACCAAGGCGCTTGGTTGCTGTTGACCCCCCTGCAAAAAGTTTAACTTTTTGGGGGTTTAGTGGAAAACACTTTTATTTCCCAAAAAGTTAAAGTCTAAAGATCCAACCCAATAGCAGTCAACAAGGGAAAGCCAAAAGGTCGAAGAGTCAAAAGGGTTGATGCGCTTTTAAGACTAGGTCCTCCAGTAGAGAGGTTAGAATAAGGGTACCAACTTTTTTCTAGTCTATTTTAGTAGGGGAACCCTCCCCCAAAAAAGAAACGGCAAAAGGGCACTACTGGGGGACCTAGAAGAAGAAATGCCAACCACAGACTCCGAATTTCCCCCGATCGCACCTCACGCCCATAGGGCCTGGCCAGCAAAGGCAGTTGCCCACTTCTGTGATATTGCTTCCCTGACGAGTTTTTGAAAGAGAGAGGAAGGCCGCTATCAAAATTAAGAACTACCCGTCATTCGGAACCGCCATGAACGGGTTTATGGGAATATAAAATGGCTGAATTAAGACAAGACAACCAAATCTATTCCAGAAAGGATTCTAAGGCAACCGAAATCACTTGATCTGGAAATTGGGACCCAGGATGATGAAGGGAACACACAGAAGAAAGCAACCATTCCGAGGGATCCCCCAATTTAGGACACGACCTGGAAAACGTTTATGGCAAATCCCCCAAACCGGAGAAGAAAGGGTCAACAACAGGTGATGTTCGCGGACAGGTCGAGTCGCTGGTACAATTGTGATCATGGCGCTCCTTCACGTCGGCACGTAGCACACCGCATCCACCTAACTTGGCCCAACGCCTGGAAGAAGCCCTAGTTAAAAAAAAAAAAAAGCCCTAGGGAACAAAAACAAAACACGGATCCCAACGCCTGGGTGTACCAAAAACCAGAGTCAGTTTCATAGTCTACCCTTCCACGGCCAAGGACAAACACCTTACTATGGAGAACTCAGTTGAGAGAAAAAGGTCACCACTACAGCCCGTGCCATCCTCTTCTAGGTGTCTGGTCGGCAGAAGAAAAAAAACAACTTGTGAAGTCTTGGCCATGAGGAAACCTGCCAAAGCGCACAAATGGCTGTGGGTCAAAATTAAACCACCAGGGTCTGGATCGCAGGTTCTAGTCCATGTTTCCATTTACTAAGGTTCCATTTTGGGTACCTATTTTTGACCCACAGCCAAATCAGGCAACTCGAGAAGAACCGGTCTTTCAGATGAACTCTGCCAACAAGCTCCTGGAAGCCGTTGGTTTCCTACCTTTCGTGTCAAATGAGCCGGTCACGGCCCTCATGCTCCGGACCCGCATGGGATCCGGAGCGCAATCCGGTGCGCAGCGCAGCCTCCGCGGCCCTTGAAGTGTTCCACGGGAAACGGAGAGAATGAGTCGACAGATTCGAACAATATGGCCGTGGCTCAAAAAACCGGAATTCCAAGATGGGTTGCTCTGGTAAGTGGAAACATGGACCAAAACCTGCGGTTTGCCCCTCCTGTTGAATTTTGAGCCACACCCATATCTGCCCATACGATCGATTCACTCGAGCAGCGCGGTATTTTCTTGGAGGCACCGTCAGAGCTTAACTCGGCGACTTCCAGCAGAACGGTCCGCTGAGCTCCGGGTGGCGCGGCCGAAAGGATCAGCACCACGGTGTCACGTGCGGCCCTAGTGGCAGTTGCTAAAGGTGGCTCGTTCTTCTCCGGCCTGCGCGCATGACATGCCCGCCACCTTTCATACTCCAACCCTGGCGACGCAATTCTGACACGTTCCACCCTTCCAACAAAACATGTCAGCCACCATGTTGCTTCGGGAAATCAGTGGTGTTCTTTCCTGAAAGAAGGAAATGCCGAAAAACACCAAAGCAAACCAACCCTCCAAAGCACCCCCACCGGCCCCCCACCCGCAATCTTGATTTGGCCTTCGGCCTTCTTCGCCCTTCGGGGGTTCCTTGGGCCTTGAGAAGTTTCACTCCCCTTCCTCCGCGACCGATCCACAGCCCTTGCCTTCCCCACCCCAAACCGATCGCTAATCTAGCCGGAGGCACCCTTCGGAGTCCACGGGCGAGGTGGGAATTCGAATCTCCTGAGACACAAACACGAATAGACAAATGTTTAATCACCTCTGCTACAAGCAAATGAATCATCAACCACCGTTTGATCTGGTATTCATATAGATGGCCTTTCTACAACTACAATGTCCTTACAGAACTCCTGGTATCTCCTTTAAGCTTAGCTCCCTTCCAAGCACAAAAATGCGTTGTACCCGCTGGTCAGGAACCAAGTGTAGGCCAAATTTCATCCACCATATGACGACAGGCAAATCAGAACATCATGTCCCGTTCCTCTGTGTTTTCATCCCCCCAACACCAACACAAAACATCCCTTAGCAAGGCCGAATAAGCTTGTTCCCCAAAATCACTGAGCGATCCATTGGATCCCGGACTCCTGAAAAGTAGAAGGGGTCTTTACAAACGAAAGTCTTTCTAAGGCGCGATCTTGAGAGCTCCTGGCTCACGGTTCTTCATGTTGCACCGTAAGAAATCACCCCAAGAAAGCTCGCCCTCCCAACAAATCCTCTTCAGCAAAAGCCCTCTTCCAGGTTCCAAGTTTGCTTTCGGGAGGGTAAAGTAGCAAAAGACGATGCTTGAACCAAATCTCAGAACCAGCCAGCTGGACCTCGCAAGTCGGGTGATGATGTCTTCGTATTCCGGCGAAAAAGAGCGAAAGCGTGTGCTTTTCCCCGCCCGAAAAACCAATCAAACGGGGGTCTAGGCGTTCTTGCACAATTTCAGAGATAGGGGGGGGCCGAATAAACGTCGAACCCACATTAACAAACCTGGCGAGAAAAAACATGGCGTGCTCTCCTCAAAAGTGAAAGAGTTGTTCTTCAATAGGGTATCCCCTCTGAATTCATCACCAAAGGTTAAGCAAGTTGGGCTTCTCCAGATTCTACAATAAAGGAAGTCCGCCCGTCCAGAGCACTGCATTATGGTCTGCAACTATGTTGCAAATGTCTCACGCAGTGCGCGCACCCCGTCTCCTCGCCGAACTGCCTGAGCTTTGAGCGAGAAACCGACCAACTTGGGTGCTCGGCCAGGTTGCAAAGTAATTGGTAACCTTGGCTAGGCCCGCTGAGAGGAGTTGCCCCTCTTGATAGTGGGTTTTACCGCAAGTGACTGACCACTTACGAACCAGTCCTAAACCTGGGGACCCAATTTGCCCCCTTTCTGGACGGTCAGAGGTAAACCACCAGGAAAAGCTCTTTTTTGAGATCGACTCCTATTTTGGGGAACACCAAAACCAAGCTCAGCCCAGTGAAAACCGCTCAAAAACGCCCCGATGTCCCCACGCAATCCAACAACCTAGCCACGTGGTGCCGGGTGCCCCTGAGATCGTGGGCGTGTTTTTGTTGAGGCTCGGTCATCATCATCTGGGGCTGATTCAAAAGGAAACCAAAGAGAAAACTACCGTTTTCAGGGTCCGCCTGCTTTGACAGAAACATACTCATATGGGTACACCGTTTCTGGGTGGGTCACTTGCAAAATCGAAATAAGAGAATTGGCCATCGTACACTGGGCTAGTTCTTTCCACGAATATGAAAGAAGACTCTCCTGCAGATTCATAAATGATGGGGATTCCCCAGGTCCAAAAACGAACCCGGACCAATTCAGGGGGGTTTGGTCACAACCCATTTTGAAGACCGCAAAACAATCGAACTGGAGCCTTAGGCTCACTTCCTGAAAGTCCGAACTGCTATGTTCCACTGAAATGGCCCAAGCCGGAAAAGTCTGACATGGAACTCAGGAAGTGACTACGGGGTTTATTGAAAAGACCAGAGACCCCTGTGCAAATCTCTGAGCGACTCACCGAAACCGATCGACCCATCGGCCTCTCGGAGTCCACTGGGGAAGTGGGGGGCGGCACCTCCTATGCAACCCCGTGAGAAGCGAGTGACGCCACCCGGCGAAAAGCCGAACCTAATCGAAGGTTGACCCCACATTCTTTTCATCCACCAACCTGTTTATGGAAATTTTGGGGTGAAATGTGGGTGTTTGGAATGAGACCGCTTTTGGAGGGGAACATCCCTACCCCCCTATTCATAAACAGGGGGTGATGAATATGGGGTCAGCATCAAACCGCTGCCAGCCTATGTCGAACTAACCAAGCTAACCAAAAAAGGAACTAACCAAGCTACCCGAAAAAGGAATTAACCAAGCTAACCGAAAGAGGAACTAACCAAGCTATCCGAAAAAGGAACTAACCAAGTTAACCGAAAAAGGAACTAACCAAGCAAACCGAAAAAGGAACTAACCAAGCTAACCGAAAAAGGAACTAACCAAGTTAACCGAAAAAGGAACTAACCAAGCAAACCGAAAAAGGAACTAACCAAACTAACCAAGCTATCCGAAAAAGGAACTAACCAAGCTAACCGAAAAAGGAACTAACCAAGCTAACCAAAAAAGGAACTAACCAAGCTAACCGAAAAAGGAACTAACCAAGCTAACCGAAAAAGGAACTAACCAAGCTAACCAAAAAAGGAACTAATCAAGCTATCCGAAAAAGGAACTAACCAAGCTAACCGAAGAAGGAAATAACCAAACTAACCAAGCTAACCGAAAAAGGAACTAACCAAGCTAACCGAAAAAGGAACTCACAAAGCTAACCGAAAAAGGAACTAACCAAGCTATCCGAAAAAGGAACTAACCAAGCGAAAAAAGACACCTGTGCTTCCGAGATACCAAACAACTCTGCCCTGTTGGTGCACATAGCCCCGAGCTACGAAGAATTAAAGCGCGTGATTGGCCCAAAGCCGCCGCGAGACTCCAAAAACGATGATCCGTTTGGCTTCTCTTGAAACCAAGCTAAAAAGGGTTTCCGGGAAAATAGAAGAAGAAAACAAACCCGTTTCTTGCAAAGTTACAAGGTTCACTGTGGAGATAATTTAGGTGGGGATGCATGTCCACCAACCACCTTTTGCTTCCCTGTTAAAACTCCTGGCTACTCAACTAACTGACCAAAAAAGCAAGAAGCTGCTTTGTCCCTGGCACGTCTCAATATATAGATGTCCATTTGGGATCCAAAAGTGAACATGCCTCACATCAACTGTTTGAGAGGGTGTTCGCCATTCAAATGCACAGCCAATAGGCACCAACATGCCAGAGACCATGCCGCCTTCTGTGGCCGACCCGCCCTACCACTGTCTCACTGCACCACTCGGTCGATCTTCAAGCTTGAACCTACAGCTGAAGTCGTGTGATCCAACCATTATAGATTTTTGCAGCCTTTAATTTAGGTCTATCATCTGTTTGTCTTTCTTGCACTGGATTTCCCAAAAGTGGCATCTCCCTTAAAACTGCCACTTTAGGTTTGAAAAAGGGAACTGGAGGAAACCCTGTTTTAGTACAGGGTGCAAGACAGGACTGGGCCTAAGACGTACCTACTCTAGGCGTCTTTATGTCTTTCTTAGCCTGGTCTTTCCTACCCTTTTCCCTTTCTATCAGCATGTTAGAGGGCAAAAATGACTTTACCAAACTTTGGCCAAGCGGTCAAGGCCAAAGCACGCGCCGTCTCTCCCTCTCCCTCCGACCGCAGGCTCCTCGCCAAAGCGCCTCCAAAACGCCGCAAAATGGAGACGGGATTGCAACGCATGACCCACTTACCCACTTCTCACTTCCGATCGAGTGATTGGTCCAAAGAAGCTCCCAAGCTGTTTGCCACTAACATGATCTTACCAAAAAATGCAAAGTCCAGAAACTCGGGGAGTGGGGTTTTCTTGTCCATGATGACTGGTGGTTGGATGTGGTTGTGGTTGGAGCTGGTTGATCTGACGAATAGGGGAAAAACACATCACTGCCAGCTTGGAAAGTTCCTGAGCTCATTTCCTCGTTGGTCTGTGGTACCGTGGATTTCCTGCTGTATCCGCACCCATTTATGGCTGCTACCCTCCGAAAAAATCCGGGTATCGACTATGGCTCATGTCGCTTTGCGTACCTAGGTCCTCCAGTAGAGAGGTTAGAATACCCTTTTTTCTGTAGTCTATTTTAGTAGGGGATTTTTTCCAAATTGAAAATGTTGGTGAGAAGGGGCACCTAGCTGGGGGACCTAGGTACCACGGTAAGAGACACGGAGCGCCTGTCATCGGCTTCGGAGGCCACGGGCGAGGTGGGAATCGGCACCTCCTGGCCGATTCCAAGGCTGGAAGAGACTTTCGGAGCTGGCAGTTGTCGATGTGTTTCTGAGTTTGTATGCAGTATGTAGATTTTCATATATGCTGAAAAAGGGCCTTCTGATGCAGATGCAGATGCAGTTGTGTTTTTCCTTTTGGGGTGGGGGGGGGGGGGTGCCATATGTGTGTATATATATATATATATGTGTGTATGGGCGGGTCAGCATACATACAAATATATATATATATATATATATGGGGATTTGTGTCTGTAAAGATAAGTAAAGACTCTTTGAAGTGTTCGAATGTCGGCCCTGGATTAATCAACCTGTGGGATTAATAGGGGAATGCTCCTAAGAAGTGAAGGCCCCGTAACGTTGGTTGCGCTTTTTTCACTGGCGCGGGCTCTGCTCCTTTGAACGGGTCCCAACTGGTGATGCCTTGGCCAAAATTATGTAAAATATGGGGTTGCATCAGTATACCATGAATCTCTTCAGTGTGTTCATTGCTGATTTGTTGTTGTTATTGATTGTTTTTTGAAGCTTGCTCAGTCGTTTCTTTGTTGTTGTTCTTTGTGTTTTGTTTGTTTGTGTGTGATTACTTGTGGCGGAGATGGGTTCCCTGCGAACCACCATTGAGAGGGTCAGTTTGCGGAAGACTTCTACAGGGTCGCCCCTTTCGACCGAATCGATCATCACAAGGCCAACGTGGCACGCCGGGTAAGGCAACCGCTTATTGGGCGCCAAGGGAGCATCCCGGTTGACCTAGGATTCAACTCACTGGCTGAGTGGATGGCCCAAAAAAAGTCCAAACTTTAAATTTACCACCAAAATAGTCTAAACCCAATAAGTGTAAAGTTCATGAACTCAGGAAGTGATTCTGAGTGACAAAGCCTGGAAATGAACTGATTTTGGATGCAAACCCCAACACGGATTGCCCCAGTGTGCCGTCTTTGAGCCTTCTTGGCTTTGTGAAATCATGGCGTGGATGCGCTGCGTCTGCGGACCCGCCCTTGGGTAGCAAAAGAGTCGGCACTGAACAGCAAAAAGCACCAGGAATTCATACAAAAGTGGCCTCTTTAAACAAACACTTATGATAGGTTCCATGGCAACTGTGGGATACCCGAAGGTCCAAAAGTTTCCAACCCCCAGAGCTACGTGTTTTTTGGGTATTTCCGCAAATAGCTGAAAGCTATACGGGGGTGCTTGCTTCTAAAGAGGTGGGGGGTTAGCGAAATCGGGCCAGGGGCGGCGGGTGCTGCTCAGGTGCTGACTTGCTGTGCTTGTTCGGCGCTGCCAGGGTGGTCAGGGTGCTAGTCAGGGGTGCTTGGGGTGCTGGTCTTTTGGGTGGTGAAATCTCAGTCTATGCTGTGGCTTCCTTTTCATTTCCCTACGCGTCCCTTCAGAACAACCAAAAAAAGGGGTACCCTTAAAAAAGTGCACAACCCCAATGCGTACGACCAGCAGACCACCTCTCTCTAATGCATGTCTCTGTCCAAACCTCCTCCCCCGCCTCGCCCTCCGCATATCTGCGCCTGGCCGCATGAATTGGACCAAGCAGGTGTGCTGGCATCTACTTACACTGAACGGTTTTGTGTACATGTTTCTATATATAGGTACAAAAATTTACAGCTTGGGAGGGGGGTTTGGCAGACCTCGAACATATATATATATATGGGAACACACTGTTTAAGAGTTGCTTGGGGTGGCGGGGGTGCCGGGGGGGGGGGGAATTGCGTTCGGTGCCGTGTATATATTTGCCATTCAGCGTGGGCCCAAATGACATCATGTTGTCGTCCCACCTATAGCATAGTACTTTGTCTTGGCCACCAACAATGTCTACCAGAGTGGTGCCATATGCGTACAAATGGTGCGGAAAGCGAGGTGCGCAAATTTTAAGTCCTGGGAGAGAGCAAGTGGGCGGCTGTGAAGATAAACATATATATATATATAGTGGACCTTCAGGAGCCAGCATTTGCTGTCGCTTCACAACAGGAAGGAGCAGAGTGTTGTCGATACTGACGCATTGTTTTCGTGTCTGCTTGTTGATTGCTCCATATAGTCACTCACTTGTGTAGCTATAGTTCAGTTTAGCTGTCTGGTTGTGCACTTGTTTATGTACTTAGCTTGTGTCTTCATGCCTGCATATGCAAGTACACCTATAAGTGTGTATCTTCATTTGTACATATGTATATATATATGTACATGGGTGATATCAGTCTACGTAGTGTGATCAGGAACAAAAACAATAACAGCAGCAGCAGCAACAGCAGCAGCAGCAGCAGCCACGACGACGACGACGACGACGACGACGACGACGACGACGACGACGACGACGACGACGACGACGACGACGACGACGACGACGACGACGACAGCAACAGCAACAGCAACAGCAACAACAACAACAACACAACAACAACCACAACAACAACAACAACAACAACAACAACAACAACATCATCATCATCATCATCATCATCAACAACAACAACAACAACAACAACAACAACAACAACAACAACAACAACAACAACAACAACAACAACAACAACAACAACAACAACAACAACAACAACAACAACAACAACAACAACAACAACAACAACAACAACAACAACAACAACAACAACAACAACAACAGCAGCAGCAGCACCAGCAGCAGCACCAGCAGCAGCAAGAACAACAAGAACAACAAGAACAACAAGAACGACAAGAACAACAAGAACAACAAGAACAACAAGAACAACAAGAACAACAAGAACAACAACAACAACAACAACAACAACAACAACAACAACAACAACAACAACAACAACAACAACAAGAACAAGAACAAGAACAAGAACAAGAACAAGAACAAGAACAAGAACAAGAACAAGAACAAGAACAAGAACAAGAACAAGAACAAGAACAAGAACAAGAACAAGAACAAGAACAAGAACAAGAACAAGAACAAGAACAAGAACAAGAACAAGAACAAGAACAAGAACAAGAACAAGAACAAGAACAAGAACAAGAACAAGAACAAGAACAAGAACAAGAACAAGAACAAGAACAAGAACAAGAACAAGAACAAGAACAAGAACAAGAACAAGAACAAGAACAAGAACAACAACAACAACAACAACAACAACAACAACAACAACAACAACAACAACAACAACAACAACAGCAACAACAACAACAACAACAACAACAACAACAACAACAACAACAACAACAACAACAACAACAACAACAACAACAACAACAACAACAACAACAACAACAACAACAACAGCAGCAGCAGCAGCAGCAGCAGGATCAGGAGCAGCAGCAGCAGCAGCAGCAGCAGCAGCAGCAGCAGCAGCAGCAGCAGCAACAGCAACGGCAACAGCAACAGCAGCAGCAACAGCAACAGCAACCACAACCACCAACCACCAACCAGCAGCAACGAACCACCAACCACCAACCACCAACCACCAACCCACCAACCACCAACCACCAACAACCAACAACCAACCACCAACAACCAACAACCAGCAACCAACAACCAACAACCAACAACCAACCACCGACCACCAACCACCAACCACCAACAACCAACCACCAACCACCAAGACCCAACAACCAACAACCAACAACCAGCAACCACCCACCAACCACCAACCACCAACAACCGACAACCAACAACCAGCAACCAACCACCAACAACCAACAACCAACAACAAACAACCACCAACCACCAACCACCAACCACCAACCACCAACTACCAACCACCAACCACCAACCACCAACAACCAACAACCAACAACCAACCACCAACAACCAACAACAACCAACAAGCAACAAGCAACAACCAACAACCAACAGCCAACAGCCAACAACCAACAACCAACAACAAACAACCACCAACCACCAACCACCAACCACCAACAACCGACAACCAACAACCAGCAACCAAAACCAACAAACAAGAAAAGGCTGGCCCATGCTTCGCGTGTCACACACGTGTAGATGTAAGCCTGGAAGCCAAAGGTGGGAACCTGGAACCTGAAAGTGCACAGCTTCGAACATGAGCCGCTCGTCTGAACAGGTAGTATTCTTTAGTCATATCCGCGGTTGCAACAAGCCAACTGAAGGACACGCCCTGTTGACCAAAAAATGCGAGCAGCGATTGCTTTTAAGGATTCCAATAGGGGAGTCCATCTGCAAAGAACGCACCATGATACTGGGTCATGTCACGTGCGGAAGGTTTGGCTCCTCCGTCTTTGCATCCATCTGCGCAATTGTCTATGCTTGAAAAACCGGAAACAAGGAATCTTCAAGTAATGAAGATTCATCATGGGCGGAATCTCTCGTCTTACCGCCAATCGGTGGGTTCGTTCTGATTTGCACAGTCCCGTCCCCCGATCGAAACCTTGGTGTGTGTGGGTGTGTTTTTTGTTGAGGCTGCCTTCTTTGAAGTGGCTTGAAAGGGAAATTGAAGTGAAAAGGGCACACCATTCTTGGGAGGTCGATCTGCTCAAAGCGGCCTCCAGACTTCCCCGCCTGTCTTCGATTGGGGAATCCACCGGAGAGGTGGGCGGCGGAACCTGGCGGTCTCATTCAAAGGCTGATGGCACTTGTGTTGAAACCACTTAGTAAATATGTACTATTTTTTGTCACGGGACTAACCCCTACCCCACTTATAACCAGGGGTATAGCTCAGCATAGTAAGAAGCCTTGAAGATCCAGGTACAGGTCCAACATTTGGCCATTGTGGAATTCCGGGAGGCTGAGTTCCCATTTGTTCGGCTGCAAAGAAATATTAAATAACCCGCAAACTGCATCATACCGGGGACGCATCGTACATGGGCGCGCCTTGCTTCTTGAGGGTGTGCTTTTTTGGATGGTTTTAGAGGAAAACCAACCCAACATCTGGGGGTCCGATTCCTGCAACAAGACATTCGCAAATCGACAGGTTGCATTCTCCCTTTGACTCATAGACTCCGAGTATGGGCTATTGAGGGGGCGCAGGCTAATTATGGGGACGGAGGGCGATACCGCGGATGTGTTTCTTTTTGTTTCTTCTTTTTTCCCTTTTTCCGGGGATCCACAAAATAGCCTCGGTGTTCCTTTTGGCTTCCCTTTCAAGCAATTCAACCGAAAGATGTAAAGAAAAGAAATAAAAGAACCCATATATAAGCCAAGGCCAAGGAGCCCAAGGAGCCCAAGGAGCACAAAGGGCTTCATGGCTGATAGGTCCACAGGTCCCTTCCCGCACCTCCCTCTGTTGCGAGAAATTGGGTCATGTCTCCGTCTCAAAGTCGGGAACTCCCAGAACCCATGGTAACCCATGCTTGGCTTGCGGTGCGAGAATATGAGTCTGTCTTAAAAAAACCAGACTCCAGCAACAACCAACGCCTTGCTTCGGAAGAAAGCAACGACCAAAAGTGGCTCCCCAAAACAAGGCACGCCCTTTCTGTGAGAAAACATTGCTTTCGGCTGCCAGGCTTCCTTTGGCCGCCATTTTTGGGACCAGTTTGGCCTCCAGAATCACCCGCTCGCTTGCCTCATTTTGCCTCGATCCTCCCCAGATCCCCCAAAAGTTGCAAGTCATCCCCGTCTTTGTCGGTTTGCATTGAACAACCCAGCAAGAAAGCGCAAGTGGACCCAGCACTGCGGGCCTCAGAAACCGAACACTGTGGGCCCAGCATCGTATCAGACCCAAACAACAATAAAAAGTGGTGTCCCCAACAGCCTCCGAAATCTGCCTGCATCCCAATCTCCAGAAGCCTCCCACTGCCCCAAACCACCCCGGAGGAGCCTAGCGGGACCTAGCGACCCCATGGCTTTTGTTGGGGAAAAAACCAAATCTACTAATGAAGGGGGGGGTGTTCCCACCACTATCTGGGCCGACCCCGACCCCATGGCTTTCAGCTGTTCACCCCTGCGACTTGCGACTTCGCGCCTCATACCCCGGGCGCCTGGCATTTCGATCGAAGGCTTGGCCCATCAAGCTCTGGGCTGCTCAAAATGGAGACACCATTGCCCCCAAATGACCATAGCTTTTCCCATTCAGTGGGAAATGTAAAAAAAATGCTATGTAAAGGACCTTTTGATCAAGGGACGCAACTTTTGGCCCAACTCTACTGAGGTCCCTCCCAACAGCCCACTTGCCGAAACTCAGATGGACATGGCCACTAGTCCACCTAGAATTGCTCCCCTCGGCACTTTGAAAAAAACAACATACCACTTGGCTCAAATTCGTGTGGAGTAAGCTTCCTTGTGGGGTGATGTTTGAAGGCCTATTTATCCTGGTTCAATATTGGCGGAAGGCTTGCATAGGCATGACTACGTCTGGCACCCTCCCTGCTCATTTGATGGTCCCCAACAGCCAGCCAGCTATCTTTCGTGAAATCAGGGCGTCACAAACCACCTCGCCAATACTGACAAACCAAGGAATTGGCCAACCCCTGTTTTGAATCTACCGGGGAATATTTCGTGCTGGGTTCTCCCCCCTCCCCAAAACAAAGGGCACTGTGGATTCCCCCTTGAAAGTCTTAAACAGTGCTAACAAGAATTGGTGGTACCCTGAAAACAAACACAAGCCCACATGTCTGTGCCGAGGGCGCCCTACTTGGGGCAGTGATATCAAGGGAAGTCCCCTAAAAGTTAGTCATACAGGGTTGCTCAGTCTATACATGTGTTTTTGTGGCTGCATACATATGCGTGCATCCACAGCTATATATATATATATATACACGTACATGTACATATATACATATGTGATATATACATAGAGGTGTACAGAAATATACATATATATATATATATATATGCATCTATATATATACACATACATAGTTGTATGTACGTACATGCATACGTGCATACGCACGCATGCGTACGCATGCGTACGAAACATGTATCCGTGTGCATATCCCGTGTAAAAAGGAAACGTCTCACCACAGACTCGTCTGCCAATCCCCCCCCTGCAGCCCATCCGCCTGGATTGAGTCGCCGTAGCCACCAGCTCCGTGGGCACTTCCTCTGTGGGCACCGGCACCTGATGGGAAGGGCGGGCCCGCGGGTCTGGACCCAAAGGATTGGTGTACGGTTGGTGTCCCTTCAAACCAACCTGAAAAGGCTACCCTCAAAAAAACACGTGTGTATATATATATATATATGCACATATAACTAATGTTATTTGCTTATGTATGTATGTTTGTATGTATGTATGTATGTATGTATGTATGGATGTAATGTATGTAATGTATGTAATGTATGTAATGTATGTAATGCATGTAATGTATGTAATGCAATGTAATGTAATGTAATGCAATGCAATGCAATGCAATGCAATGTAATGTAATGTAATGTAATGTAATGTAATGTAATGTATGTAATGTATGTAATGTATGTAATGTGTGTAATGTATGTAATGTATGTAATGTATGTAATGTATGTAATGTATGTAATGTATGTAATGTATGTAATGTATGTATTGTATGTAATGTATGTAATGTGTGTAATATATGTAATGTATGTAATGTATGTAATGTATGTAATGTATGTAATGTATGTAATGTATGTAATGTATGTAATGTATGTACTGTATGTAATGTATGTAATGTATGTAATGTATGTAATGTATGTAATGTATGTAATGTATGTAATGTATGTAATGTATGTATGTATGTATGTATGTATGTATGTATGTATGTATGTATGTATGTATGTATGTATGTATGTATGTAATGTATGTAATGTATGTAATGTATGTATGTATGTATGTATGTATGTATGTATGTATGTATGTATGTATGTATGTATGTATGTATGTATGTATGTATGTATGTATGTATGTATGTATGTATGTATGTATGTATGTAATGTATGTAATGTATGTAATGTATGTAATGTATGTATGTATGTATGTATGTATGTATGTATGTATGTATGTATGTATGTATGTATGTATGTATGTATGTATGTATGTATGTATGTATGTATGTATGTATGTATGTATGTATGTATGTATGTATGTATGTATGTATGTATGTATGTATGTATGTATGTATGTATGTATGTATGTATGTATGTATGTATGTATGTATGTATGTATGTATGTATGTATGTATGTATGTATGTATGTATGTATGTATGTATGTAATGTATGTAATGTATGTAATGTGTGTAATGTATGTAATGTATGTAATGTATGCAATGTATGTAATGTATGTAATGTATGTATTGTATGTATGTATGTATGTATGTATGTAGGTAGGTAGGTAGGTAGGTATGTATGTATGTATGTATGTATGTATGTATGTATGTACGTAGGTATGTATGTATGTATGTAGGTACGTATGTAATGTATTTACTTATTGATTGATTCATTGATGTATGTCATGTAATGTAATGTACTGTGATGTAATGCAATGTAATGTAATGTAATGTTTTGTAATGTAATGTAATGCAACGCAGTGCAATGCAATGCAATTTAATGTAATGTAATGTAATGTAGTAATATAATGTAGTGTAATGTAATGTAATGTAATGTATTGTACGGTATGGTATGTATGTGTGTATTGATTTATGTGGTTACTGATTTATGTATCTATTTATTTACTTGTCTAATTAATTTATACATATTATATATACATATATATGTATATATATATATATGCCAGAAACCTCATCCCAGTGGGAAACTCATCCAGAGGTCCAAAAGCTGATTCCTTTAACGGCCTGAAAAGAGAAGTTGATGCAACACAAACCCGCCGGCCAAGAAGTGTGCAACCACCGGGGTTGCTTCAGAGACACGAGAGAAAAGGAGGAAGTCGTCACTCTTCGACGATTTGCCGCAAACGACTGGCTTTCGGCACAGCTTTTTGACCCATCAGACCAACCCCCCAATTAAGTCTTTACTGGTTTGGGGAGGGTCCGCGGGTGTAGCATCCCTTGGGGTGGCCACCGCCCCAAGATGGGCACCCAGAAATGGAGGGCCCGGAGAGCTCAGAAGGAAGCGGCTGAAACACTTCACCCAAAGTTGGGCACCTCCAACCATGGGACATATGGAAGCCGCTAGAACAGAACCTTCATCATATGTGAGCTCCAAAGAAAACAACTATGGGTGAGCTCGCTGGGTAAGTTAAGCCAGCACAATAGGTTCGAATTAACAAGTTCAAGCTCATAGCTGTCATTCCTGTAGCTGCTTTGGAAAAACCTAACGTGGGCATCCCAGATGCTAGGGGTAGTCCAACTGCCCCGTCTTTTTGAATTTCAATCGAGAAACCCCTCAAACGTTGATGAAACCCAACTCCCCATGTGGCGTGATGTCCACCAAAGGGTTTCCAGGATGGGGCCAGCCCCCTGTTTAAGCATCCTGTGGAATTCTTCTGAGGTGTCTATGGCACCGCTGAACTGTCGCCTCCAAATTTTGACCTTTGTGGCATAGGTGTCCTTTTAGGGGAAATAGATGGCCCTGGTAGATGATTAAACCACCAGGCAAACCAGGAATCGCCAGCTAGTTTTTCCACCAAAACAACCAAAAAGGACGCCTATGCTTTGTGGAAGTGTGGATCCCCTTGGTAATTGCCAAGCCCAGTGCCCCAAAAGTCCGAACCAAAACAATGTCGACTTTGGGGCTTCTCCCCAAAAGCCAAGGCCAAAACCTGGAGAAGCTTCTCTTCAACATGCGACAAACCCAGTCCTTCCCCCTTGCGGCGACGGAAAAATGGGTCTCCCATGCACATGCATGGCACTCGGTGCCTGCTCGTCATCGTCCAGGCCAGATCTCCGCGCAGACTGGGCGGAGGGTTTGGTGGTTTTGGGACGGTGGCGCTTTCTCCGTCTGGCTTCAAAGGCTTCTGAAGAGGATGGGTGAGCAGCATGATTCGTCAGCTTCCCTCTATTTGGTGGAGGTTTGGTGGTGTTCCGCGGTGGTGTCCCATGAAACCTCCCCAAAAGCCAGGGTTCAAATCCCCCCAAGCCACCCATCCAAACTGCCAACTAAGGGCAACCTGGCTATAGCTTGCCAAAAAGATCATGGAACTCAAACCCGGAGGTGGCCGGCGCGATGCCAAGAGGCGAGCAACGCTTGCAAGTTGAACCAAACAAACACTGAGTGTCAACGGAAGAAAGCCCGGCCCCAAGAATAACTTCAGGTGAGTCAAAGCCAAAAACAAGAAGCCCAAGAACGTCCATCCAATGACAACACTGGGTCCATTCAGGTGGCATCCTCGAAATGACCCTCTATATTTGGCTCTAAATGCTAGTTTCAAGGGAGAGCACCCCCAACAGTAATGTTGAAATCCCTCAACGTGCAACCACTTTGAGGGACCCAGAAGAAGGGCACCCGCCCAAAGCGTACATCAAGTGGGTGATGTGATTCACATTCGGCAGCCAGCAAAGCGGCCAACCAGGATTTCTGGTCTCAAAATAGATGCATCACAGCAAGCCAATGTTGCCGCATGCTACCACCCCAAACTCTAACCAAATGAAATCACGCTAAACTGGTGACGCAAAACCAACCCACCTTTTTCTGCATGGTGAGCTCAGTTTGCACCACACCCACCCACCCACCCAACCCATCCACCCACCCACCCAACCCATCCACCCACCCACCCACCCTGCCTACTTACCTATTTACCTATCCACCTACACCCCAATTTCGGTCCATGCGACATGCAATCCCCGCTCGCTGCCTGCACCGAGATCGTGGGCGCGTGGGAGGAAGGCACCTGCATTGCTCATTTCCAACCATTTCCAACCCCCCCAGTCGCCAAAACAAGGGCACCCCCCATGCTTTGGAACAAGCTTCGCCTTAGCGGTCAGCTTCAGTGCCGGCACGGGCTTCAGTGTGAGCTTCGGTGACTCCCCTGGCACTGGATCCATTTTTCGGCCTTCCTGACCTGATCCCAATGGTCAACTTCCCCCAGGCGCCATGAGAAAACAAAGGCAAACCTTTGTGGTGGTTGACTTCGGAACCCCCCCCCTCCAACAAAAAGGAAAAAGTGCCACTGGGGATCCAGGTATCCAACCAGAAAGCCCTGAATGGTCGATTCTTTTAAAGGCGTACGGGGGGTGGGGCTTCCGAAGCGAATCGTTCATATCTACAGTCTTCAAAGAAGGCGAAATAAAAGGACAAACAGAACTCCAGAGTTTTCCCCCTCCCCATTTAAAAGTGGGTGGGGGGATTCCAACCTGGGGCAGCCTCCACTTGCGAGAAAATGAGAGGCATATCTGGGATCTGGTGACCGGATCTTTTTTGTTCCGCAGGTTTCTCAAGGTGCCCTTGAGAACCCACTCTACCTCACTTCCGCAGAAGAAGAAAAACGCAAAAGAAGTCCAAACTATTGATTTACCACAGCAAGGGTCGTAGCACAAAGTTTAAAGCCCAGGAACTCAGGGGGGTGAGCTACAGGGAAATGGAATTGTGGAAATCCACTTTCCTGTGACGCAAAGTGAGATTCCCATCCCACCAGGACCAGCTCACTTTGAAAGGGATTCGGATCGAATCCTTGGTATCGCAGCAGATGGACACTAAACCCCGATTTTTCACAGCAAATGGCAGCATTGCAGCCTTCGCAAAAACAAAGCCAGCCTTCTCTCAGCTCGCGCCTCCTCGGTGGGTGGTCGCAGCGAGCTCACATCATCATCTGGCGCGAGAGGCGACATGACGGGAGGCTGCCGCTCGGACGAACTCATCCGTGAAGGGATCATCTTTCAACTTGGAACAACTCTGTAAAGTCTGTCCCCCTTATAGAACCTACTAGGAGAGGGGCATACAAGACAACTAGACAGGACCCTCTCATAGTCCTATGATCAAGGGACTCCCAAAAGCCAAAAAGCCCCCCCTAATCCCCACAGGAGCCAGAGCGCTTCATAGTGCCTCTTGCGGTTGGCTCCCTTGCTGGAAGATGCCACCGTTGGGGGGCCCTTAAGAACCACAGGACGTAGGCTCCACCTTCAGCATCCTTCCACCAAGTCATGTTTGTTGGCTGGCTGGCTGTCTGTCTGTATGTCTGTCCATGTGTAAGTGTGTGTATCTTTGATTTTAGATATTCTACTTATTTATGTAGTCAGTCATAGTTTTATTCATTTAGTCTTGGGTGTGCTTCAGAGCTTTCATCTTCATGTTCTGGTGTTGAAAAGGTCTGTGCAGTCAGAGCTCCAAGATGCAAATGCAACAAACATATTTGTCCAATGCAACCAGTGGCACTGGGGAGGAGGGGGGACAATAAATGCTCGTAATTATACCCGCAGGCACACATGTGTACGTGGCCATATCTATATATATATATGTATTTATTTATGCATGTATTATACGTACATAAAAATGCATGTAAATTCATCATGGGAAAGTCAAAGCAAGTGGACAACACGACATACTGTTTACAGTCCTTGCAGCTGACCAGTGATGACTGGCAAAATCATACTTGAGCTGCCTGGTCATTTGATGGGAACCCCGGATTCAGAAACACCTGGCTCCAAGGTAAATGCGTGCCCGAAATCCGCTGGCCTGAAGTCCCCCAAAGGGCGGCTTGGGGTAGTTTGGGGATTTGAACCTTTTAGCTCGAATTGGCCATGGGTCAAAACCCAAATCGGTTAGCCCCAGTGAACATCCGATTCAATCCAACCACCAAAAAATGGTCCTTAAAATGGGTGGTGAATTCACCGAAAACCCCCCAAAAAGGGATCCCAAAACGGTTTTGACCACCAGCCATGAAGGTTCTAGGTCGCCCTGTTGGTGGCGGGTTTCTTTGTGTACCCCAAAATGGGATCCCAACACGGTTTTGACCACAGCCAATTCTGCTTGCTGTACTTCCCACCTGGAGCCGCTTCAGATGGAACAGAAATCGACCAAGTCTCAGTTGTTCAGTGACCCTGGGAAAAAAAGGGAACCCTTTTTGGGGAAAACCCATTTTTAGTGGGGCAGCCACCAAAAAAAGGGAAGAAGAAGTGGTGCCACACAACTGAGAGTTCCAAACCAGTCTGCGCAGACTCCTGGTGGTTCCTCTTGGACCGCGGCAACCGGCTCGATTGCCCCAAGCCCAGGCCGGGTCCCCAAAAAAAGTCCCCGGATTCTTCCTTGCCTCGGGTCCTGGGCGTGGACTCCTGAAGCCAGGCACTTCACGGGCCGATGGGGAAGCTCGCCATGTTGCGACGTGGTGAATCAACCAACGTCGGGAGGAACTGGGGGTGAGCCAAGTCCTCCAAAAGCCATGGCTTTGGACCTAAGCTTCAAGTGGGGTCGACCATTTTCGCACTGGTTGGCCAGCCAAACCTCAAAATGGCTCCAGCCATCCTCGAACAAAGGATGGCACAGCGTGGGGTCAAGCAATCGTGTCCAGGATTCGATTCCAAGCGCCCAAATGTACAACCTTTACATCAGCCCAAAGCAAGCCCGCTTCAAATCGGAAGTTCACATCCATCATCTATCTCAGGGAGTTGTTTGGAAACCCTATTGGTGCGCCCATCTCCAGGACACAAGAGGCGCAAAGCACCGAACCGCTTCAGACCGCCTGCACTGTCTGCGGGGCTAGGTCTAAAGGTCTGAAGGCAGCGAATTCCTCAGGCCAATAGTTCAGCCCACACTCTTCCTTCCACAGCTCCAAATTCGTCGCTGACGCTGCCAGCTGTCACCCCAAATAAATGTGAATTGTTGTTGGGAAGGCGGCATCACAGTGGCTGGGCAACTCCCACAATCCTGGTAGCTTCAGTTTGAGGTACACTAAATATGGACCAGACTTCAGAACAATGCATTCTAGTTGGGGGCAAAGGCTGAGGAAGGTTTGGTGGAAATCTGAAACTTTGAGTCTATTCGAATGTCCTTGAGTTCTCTCTCTTTTGGTTCTTCAAAAGCATGCAAAACGGGGTTCCCTGTTGTGGAGTCTTGTTCGTTTCTTTTTTGTTGGGGGTGGGGGGGTGGGGGTTGGGCAAACTGCGCAATAGCCAAGAGATCCCTCTCTGGGGAAATACAGGGACCCCCAAAAAGGAGCAGGTCTTCGGTCTTAACATGGGTCCGGGATCCCTGTTACTCTCAAGCGAGGTCCTCAGAAAGCTATCTTAGAAGCCTGAATTTGGCGCAAAATGCAACCTCCCTCCTGCGCAATGCTTTACAATTAAGAGCTTCTTCTAAGAAGGCTCCTTCAAACCTTAAACCTCCCTGGAAGGCTTTACAACCCCTCGAGATCCTTCTATCAAGGTTCCTTCCAACTGTTTCTGGGTTCCAATTCAGGTTTGCCAAAGTTACGTTCTTTCAGAAGGCGGCAAATACGAATGCCTATCTGATGCTTGCTGTTTATAGAGCTGCGTTGCAAGAGACAAGTATACACTCCTGACCCCAGCTCAATCAACCAGTCGGAAGGTTTTTGTTTAGGGTGTGGGTTCCCTCAAAAGTGATCCGGATCCCACACAAAATGGGACGCCAAAACCAACGACGTGTTTATCAATCCTGGGTTTAAGTTAACTACTTAACCAGGCCGAAACTGGCCGCGATGTATTTCTACCATGTTCAAGGTCACCCCCGAAGTGATATAGGTCATTGGGAACAATTTCAGTTTCTGAAGATACATAGGTCACTCATGAGAAACCCCCAGAAGTCAGACAATCAGCCAAAAAGTCTATGGTTTCAGGTCCCAAGCTCTCACAAGCTCAGCGCCCCGGCCCCAAGCTTGGGAGTGTCCGCCATAAAAAGGTCCTCCAGGATTCCGCAGTGAGTCCGCTCTCAGAAGGACCCGGGACCGCAAAGACCCAAGGGTTGCTTTTTCGGTCTTCAAACCACTTAAGTAGGCTATAGCCATGGTAAGGGGACTAACTCCAATTATCCCAGAAACCATGGTTATAACCACAAAGTTTGAACATCCAAGTAGGGGCAGAGCCTGATTGAGGCCAAACAAGGCCGACAAAAGCTGGGGGGTGAAGTTGTTGACCCACATCAACAATTTCGACCCTGGCACAAATGAATACCTTTCCAAGGAGCAAAATTGTGCGATCGCCAGAAGTCGGTCAGTCAGTCGGAACGAGCAAGCAAATGATCACCTGTTGGAGACGTTCAACGAATGAAACCCCGAAAGTGTCCAAAATAGAGAGACCCCAAAACTTGAGGTGCTCCCTTTAAACTAAGCTGACGATGGTGCCCTCAAACAGACTTACACACACCCATTTGGATCCACCAGAGGCCAGCCAAGAAGCGAGTCGGAATCAAAGCATTGGGGAACCAAGAAGTCCCCTTCAGGCAACCCTTGCTTGCTGGAGTTAACAGGGAAACCAAATGGGCAACATCCATCTTGGGATTCCAACTAGATGTCAATCCTTTCGACTTGAAAAGACTCACAAAAGGGTGTTGGAAGCCAAACTGCAACGTCCAAAACTACCAAGGGGCCTTGATAGCTCCGCCCTTTAAACCACACCTCCCACGCCCGACATTCGGATCGAATCCTCCGTGGGCTCAAGCTCCCCCTCATCCGAGGGATCCTCTGTGGGTACATCCTCCGTGGGCACTGGGATCTCCTGAGCGCCAGTTTGGTGGCTCGTTGTTTGATCTTTTGGGTGGGGAGCGCTGTAGAGGCCTGGTCGGGTTCTTCCGTCCCCCCCAAAAGTATGGCTTGGCTTGGGAGCTCAAATAAAGATGTTCGTTGGAAATTGCCTTTGTGGGTTGCTTTGAACGGAAAGCCAAACGGAAACCACTGGTGTGTGGGGGGGATTTCTCTCCTAAGCCAGATGGCAAATGCGCATGGTTGCTGCAAGCAACAGCCAATCTGTGATACCAAGTTGGGATTGCCAATCCCGCAACTTTATCACTTTAAAGGGACTTTCCATGGTATCACAAAAGCTGGCCTCAAAACCAAAGGCTTGAAGGACAAACCTTCTGGAAAAAACGCCTCAGCACCATGACTGCGGGGATTTGTTGGGTGCCCCTTTAGTAAACACCATTGGCCTTTTGCAAGCAACGGGGATTTGCAGGGCGGGTGTTGACTCGCCAGAGATTTTCACGGGCAGGACGCCGGAAACGTAGCCCTCCAGGGCCCAGGTCCAATCATCGGGTGCCAGGAAAGCAAATACGTCATTAACAAATGGCTGTGGGTCAAAACCCAGGAAACCCCTGGTGAACATCAAAATAGGTGGTACATGGGTGTTCCGCCCCACAATAGAGGCATAGGTTATGACCCATGGCCAAATCAGCTTCCGTTTTCAATGGTTTGGATTGGTGGTCTGGAGGTTGCGTGGTTTGGTATGTACCCTCTACAGGAACCTTGGGTTCAAATTCTCAAACCAATCCCAACCAATTGTGTTACCTGATCCCGTTTTTGGCGGGAACAACATATTATGATTAGAGTTAGGCCCAGTTATAGAATGTATATGTTGTTGTTTGCTTCACTTTGAGTCACTGGTAAAATGTAAAATGTATGCTAAGTCTACCCCAGAACAAAAAGTACTGAGCAAGGTGGTGAGGCATGGAACCTTGTCAGCCGCTTTCGCCGCTTTCTTTTTTACCCACGGGGATGGAGGTCCCCCCGGACTCCCCACATGCGGTTTGTGGGTGTTTGTTGTAGAGTTTATATTTTTGTTGGCTGTATAAAGGGACACCACAGGGAAACCAAAGCCTCTTCCCTTTTTTCTGGGGGGGGAGGTCACACCCTAAACAGCGTTGCTCCGAAATCCGCACAAGGGCAGAAGTTCTGAGCATAAAGTTGATTTTCAGGGGTTTACCCCCTCCAACCCAACGGCAGAAAAGCGTTTCATCTACCCAACTGTTTGAGGGTCTGTGATTGGAATGGGCTGTCGGCTACTTTAAAGCTTTACTCGGTCACGTTTATCGGCGTAATCTTTTGGTAGTTATTTGGGCCCTTATCCAATATCTCCATCCTGCAAGATTACCGTACCAGGAAGCCTTCCCTTGCTTACGGAATCACTGGGTCTGTGGAGCGATTTTGGTTGTTCCTGTTTGGTCTGGTTATGGCTACATTCGCCCACGCCGCATTCATCCACTCTAATCCTGGGTGGAGTGGCAAAAGGAGAAACATAGGGAGCGCCGTTAAAGGGATGAACCGTTTGACCAAGCAGATTATTAGTTGGATGCTTCAGTTTGGGGGTCATTCCTCCATTCCCAGACCTCAAAATGCAACCTTCTGTGGCCCAGAGCCTCTCATCACAAGTTTTTGGGCGACCCCAAATTGACAAAACTCCCCCCCAAACTGTTCGCCACTGAAACGGTCCAAAGCAAAGTCCAGGAACTCGGGGGGAATATGATGACCCCGGATCAAAGTAGAACCCCTCCCATTCATCCGGGTTTTTGTTTGCCCCGAAAGTGGCCTGCAGCCACGAAAACGAAACCGTTTCGCACTCTCAAAAAATCAACCAGCGGTTCTTGGGTGCCCCCCCCCCAAAAAAAAAACAAGAAAAGACGGGCGGGTTTTCCGGTTTTCCGCTCGCCTCCCCCCAAAACGCCACGCCCAGATCCGACCCCCTGAAACCTCGGAGCCCGGGCGGTGGGTAGAGTACCCTCGTGGGCATCGTAGTCGATACCCTAGACCAAAAAGGACGTGACAAAAACGCCGGGTGGGCAAACGGGGATTGGAGGTTTGTTCGATGAGGTGTGCGTGTGTGTGAAAATCTTGTTTAAATGGTGGAGTTCCTTGTATGATTTCTTCCATACACCTACAAGGGAATGTATTTGGAGAATTCTCTCCTCACCTTGGTTTACAAATGGATGCCTTTTGGCTTCCGTCCTAAGAGGGTGGTGATTTCCCGAAAAATGAATAACCCTCCCACCCACCGATGGAACTTTACAGCAGGCGTGCGGAAAGCCGTCCAAACCGACGGCGTACCCCTGAAAAAAAAAAGACAGACACGTCCTTTTCATCTATCCCAAACATCCACGTGGCTGAAAGGCGACTCGGAAGTCAGAGGGCTCCAATGGCTGGTGGAGGCCTGCTGAATCCCTGGAAGTTCAAAAAACTTTTTTCGCACGAGATGTCGGAGAAAAAAAAAACCTCCACACCCTGAAAACGTCCAAAGTCCCCCAAAACTCGAGCCGCCGCGCCGCAGCGAGCTGCAGCTTCTTCTCCCCGAGCGATCGATCGATCGATCGATCAATCGATCGGCGCCTGGAAGGGCGCGGAGTAGGGCGCCGACATCGGGATCTCCTGGCCCATTTTTCTCGCGGACGCACGCGGCGGCTCCGAGTGAAAGCCACCAAGTCCCTTGGAACCCCTCCCACAGCGCATGTTTCTCTATGTTGAGGGGTTCCGAACATGTTTCTATGTTTATTGTTTTTGTTTTGGGGGGGGAGGAGGAGGTCCTCTTTCAAGCGCCGTGCAAACAGCTGGCAAGCTTGACTGGAAGGGCAATCTCTAAGAAGCGCTTCTTGAAGATCAAAATGATCTCCCCCTCTCCCCTTAGAACCCTACGTGAAGTGACCTTGGCAGATGTGCGCGAGAAAATCTGGACCAGGGAAGCTTCTTACTACTATAAATTCAAAAGGGCATGAAAATTGACCCACACCAGCCACACGGATTGCGCTTCTGAATTCAACCTGCGATTGACCTGATAGTGTCTTTTGGAAGTGGTTAAGCATAAACTCTTGTCTGACTGAAGTTGATTAAAAGGGCTGTCCCATGCGGTGGAGTTAGGTTGATTGTCAACATTCCATGCACATTTGGCAGAATCCTACCCCCCCCCCCCTAATCTAAGGGCTTTTGAGTAACATGCTGGCATCAAAGAAAAACCGAGACGGGTCTCCAGGGGGAAAGACACCAAATCACCTGTGCCAAACGTTCCGTAGCTTCTTGGCCTGCATCGCAACATGGAGGTCCAACCTTAGCTTACAGCTGCTTGAAATGAAGATTGGTGCTTCCTAATCCCAAACCTTGGGGTCGGCTTCCCCCCTAATTGGTGGTTTGGTCTGGTGCTCCGCAACCGCAAGCGGTCTGCACCGCCCGCCGTCCTTGCCGCTTGGTCGTTCGGGGCTACCTTCACTTGGTTTCGAAAGGAACCAGGGTTCACATCCTAAGCCAATCCAAACCGGGGACTTGCGGGAGCCAAGGGGTTGTGACATAGTTCCGTTGTTTGTTGTTGCTTCCGGAGACATTTGAACAGGAAGGTAGCTTGTAACCAGAAACAGAAACGACGAGAAAACGTGGGCGCAAAGGCGCTCACTGAACAAATAGGAATATGTTCTAAATAACACTAGTTTACAACATCTGTTGGGGAGGAGCGGTTGTGTTCTCTTTTGTGTGGGGTCGGCAGGTGGGGAGATTCCCGAACAACAAGCTCACACGAGCGGGCAGCAGTTGCTGAACATTTGAGAGAACGTTCAGCGAACCACATTAAGTAAATGTTGAGGAGCGTTGACTCAACCACATTTAACAAAAAAAAATCGAAGCATTCCCTGAACAGCTATTAAAATGAGGGGAAGTGTCGCTGGAACAGGTACAAGTGGCTGGGAGTTCCACCATGGAACAAATCAACCTTGGCGTGGGGACAATGAATCACCCTTGCGGCGGTATTTGCACGAACCAACCATGTTGGAAGAGTGCCTGGTGTTGACGCCCATGTTGTTAATTACCCCACTGAAATGAACAAAATAGAATCTTTCGGCTTAGTGGGAAATCGGGATTTCCACATTCACCTCTTACTGGATATGTCCACGGATCCTCATACCCCTGTGCAGAATTACCGGCCCAATGCAGGACCCATGAGACTCATCGAAACAAGCTCTCGACATTTTGAGGGCGGAGAAATCGGAAGCCTCAGGGAAGCGGTCTGAAGACAACTTCTCGGATTGTGCCCGCACCTCGTCAGCAAAGGGAGTGCTGGTCGGCATCTCGACCTCATGGCGGGGAGAGAGAGAGAGAGAGAGAGAGAGAGAGAGAGAGAGAGAGAGAGAGAGAGAGAGAGAGAGAGAGAGAGAGAGTGAGAGAGAGAGAGAGAGAGAGAGAGGAGGAGGGGGAGAGAGAGAGAGAGAGAGAGAGAGAGAGAGAGAGCAGTAGCGAATTCAGTGCCCTTATTCGCTGGGCGGTCTGGACGCCAAAGCAGCTTTGTTGGCTATCCTTTCTCTTTGGGCTATCGCTGTCCGTCGCGTTGACATCCGTCCTTCCTTCCTTCCTTCCTTCCTTCCTTCCTTCCTTCCTTCCTTCCTTCCTTCCTTCCTTCCTTCCTTCCTTCCTTCCTTCCTTCCTTCCTTCCTTCCTTCCTTCCTTCCTTCCTTCCTTCCTTCCTTCCTGTCCCTCCCTTTCCTGCCCTGTCCCTCCCTTCCCTTCCCTTCCCTTCCCTTCCCTTCCCTTCCCTTCCCTTCCCTTCCCTTCCCTTCCCTTCCCTTCCCTTTCCTTTCACCGCCAGCCAGGTCCGGGTCTCCGGGCCGGCAGCGCGCTCTCATCCTTCGGGGCGATGGACGGGGTGTACTCGCAGTCGCCTCAGGGAACCGCGAGAAAACTCGACGCGACGTTTTTGGCCAAGTTACTGACCCCTTAAAACTCCAAGACCTGGGGAAGTTCTCATCTTTTACAGACATATAGCCCATGTTACCCGAAAAGTTGAGAAAAGTTGTGCTTTTACGAGGCAAGGTTATGACCTTACCGAGGAGCCGCCTGAATTATGACCTTACTATCAGGCTGGTCCCAAAATGGAACCCGGGTGAATGGAACCAAGGACTCAAACCCTCCTTCCCCTGGTGAATTTTGACCCATACCCAGGTCTACCTCCGCTTAGGGGCTACCATGGCTACCTTACTAACAGGAGTTTGTCTCCACCTAGCAGCTACCTTACTGCCAGGTTGCTCTCCACTTAAGGGGCCAGGGGCTTACAACCTACCCTACTTCTGAGCTTGGCCGAACACCCAAGTCGGGTTCCACATCCACCCCCTTGTGTTGAGTCCGAAGCAGAGCTCAGGCTTGCAATGAGTTTGTGTTCCGGAAAAAAAGAAGAAGAAGAAGAAGAAAAACTCAAACCATCCTAAACCCAGGGGTTGGCTCCATTTGTTCTGACCCAATGTCTAGAAGTCTATCACCGCTGTTGGGCGCCGGTGCTAGCTCAGGCTTCTCCTTTTTCGAGTTCCCCAAGGTCAGACTTCTGAGGCAACCAGCTGGTCCCCTTAGCGGCAGAAACCGAGAGGAGGTGGCTTAAACAGTTCCTGGTGAAGGTGTCACACAAATCCTTCAACAGTGATTGCGCCTAGCTGCCTTTTGGCTAGAACTTAGTTGTCTTGAAGGAGAACAAACGGAGCCGTGTCCCAGGGCAAACGTAAACACCAAGCGCAACCACAGCGGCCTTGAGCGGGGAAAACCTGGCCGGCAACCCTTACGTAGGCCCAAGTGGCGCCTCTACCAAGGATATTTGGGGATGTCAGAGCCTTCCCATAAGGGGCCAGATTGTTTGGGTGCCTCGATTTGACAAGCGCACCCAAGCGCATGGAAAACGCACAGAATACCTTTACCTTCAAGAGCCGCTCAACAGGCGGGCTCATCTACATGGGAGTAGTATCCGCCCATGATTGAAAATATCCCAAACTAAACACCTGGCCATATCTTGTCTCCTCCAAACATCACCTACCAAAAGGCCATTCCTGCTTTGGCGTTCGGCTGAACCTTGCGGTGGGGTGTCTTTGCGGTGGCCAAGAGACACAAGAGAAGGCTCCAATCACAACCCTAGACTTGTTGCTTCCCCTTTTCGGGTGGGGTAGGGCCTATTTTATGGTTTAAACCCCAAATCCGGTGTCTTTCTACGGTTGGTTTATCCATTTCGTTCATGACCTGTTCCAAGTGCTCTGGCTTGGTTCGACCCTACGGCTGAGCTCTGCGCTGCCCACGTGCGCCTGAGAGACCAACAGCTGAAGGGGCTGGGGAGGCATCTCTTGCGGGAACCCAGCCCCTTTCCTTCCCAGGTCCACCGAGTTCTGTTCTCTTTGAAACTTTGTGGTTTCAGTTGGGCTTCATTTGAGGCAACCCCCAAAAATGGGCGGGGTCCCCCGTTGGTGTCAAACTTGAAAAGCAGCCCAAAAGGGGCAACCTCATTTATAAAGACATCCCCATAAAGGACCCCTCCACTGGCAGTGGCGTGTGCAATCAAACAAAGCACGTCCTTGGTTCAGGGGTGCGGCTTATGTGTTCCAGGACATTTCGGCAGTTTACTGACCTGGCTTTGGGCATGTCTTGGCAGTGCAGGTGGCCGTCGGTAGGTCGACTCGCTGACGGAGCTCGCTATGGCTGACCTTTAGGACTTTTGAATTGTTGGAATGCCCTTCTCAACAGCCATCCGCGACGAAGCATAACCTCTGTTTTTTAGGGGACCCCGCCAAAGGTGGTTTTTCCTTTGGTTTCCTTCAAAACCACGACGGAAGGGCATCCTCAAAAAAGACAGACCCGTGTGACCTCTGTTGAGGTTTGGGGGCAAGCTTAGGTATGGGGCAACTGCCGGTTGGATTCCCCGCGCCAGGTTGTGGCTAAAACTAAGAGTCCGCCATGCCCCCCCACATTGACCAAAGACCGGATATTTGCGCGTGTTTTTGGGGACCCCCAAAAGGCCGTGTTTTGGGGGGCACCCAAAAAATGGTCTCCTTTTGGTTTCCCCTTACCACCTACCAAAAGGGGTACCCCACAAATTGACACACTTAATCAAAAAGGAAACCTCTCTGTATCAGTTGCCCATTGATCCCGGACAAAGAACGGGAACCGTTCCAGGCTGGGACCTCGAACCCGGCACCAAACAAAGGGATCTCAAGGGGGCCGGCATCAACTTAGATCTTCCTGGTGATAATTTCCTCTAGCTCTGCTTGCCCTGAGTCCGGCGCATAGCTTCCTCTGGCAGAAGCCTGATCGAGATGCTGGTTGGCGAGGAACACGGTGATGAGGCAAAAGTTGGGCAGGTTGCGTCCCCTTATAAGAGTTGGGTGTGTTGCTCGCTAGTGAAGGGAGCTATAGGTTTTGTAAAGGATTAAAGGTTAAAGGTCAATCCGAAGAGCAACCAAGAAAGAACACCCCTGTGGCGACCTATGTTGGAAGGAACAAGGATTGCCTTTGAACAGCCGAGACCACAAAAGAGTTCTGGCACGGAGGAAATGGTTGATTCCCAAAAGGAAGGTCTTTCGAAGGGGATTTTTTCGAACATACGCATCGAATGCGTAGCCGTCGCCGGCAAGAACCCTGAGGCCAAGAAACGCTCCGCAAGTCCGAGGCACACAGCGCGTTCGCGAGAGACATCTGCCGCAAGCCCCATACACTTTTGCCCTGTCGCCCTCCGCGCCTTGGTTTTCGCTTCAGGTTCGGGGAGAGAAGCGATTATCACGTGACTTGTGGAAAAAAAGCATAAACATGGCTGTACGGTCGAACCCGATTATACAATATAGCGCTCCCAAGATTATTATCTACCCACAAATGGCAAGGAGCAAGCGTACCTAATGGTTTGGAAAAAAAACCGGACCCGGCCCTGCCATAAAGTAGCTACCATCTCTCTCTTCTTGTCCAGTACTTGTTTCTTCTGAGTACAGGAAAGCCAACGGATCTCTGCACTCCTTCTGATGTGCTCCGGCGACAAATTTTTCCGAGGGGGGAGTATATCCGTGGCCACCCCCCAGACACCCAAAAATAAAATTAAAGAAGGGGTACCCAATTGTGCAACCGTCCGCCGGCCTGCAAAACAAACAGTTCCCATCTCTCTCTCTCTCTCTCTGTCTTCTTGTCCAGTAAATTATTTCCTCTGAGGATTCAAAAGCCAGTGCAAGCCAAGACTAAGCCAGTACTAAAGCAGCACGAACCGATACTAAACCAATACCAACTAATATCAAGCTGGCACTAAACTTGGGAAAGGCCAATTCTTGTATCGGGTGTCCCTATCGAGTCCCACAAACTTGTTTGGGGGGCCTTCATTAATATGTGACCCACATTAGCCGCAAGAGCTTGCCTGTTTGTCTCCTTGTGTGTTTGTTTGCCAACTGTTTGCAGTTTCTTTGTTTCTTTCTTTGCTTGCTTGCTGGCTCGCTTGCTTCCATGCTTGTCTTTGCCCCAACTTGCCACCACCGCCGCTTCACTCAAACCAATCGGCCAGTTTACGGCTCCAACCCGCACGCCCGCGTTCCCCGTGCGGTCCCGAAGGCCTGCCCTGGGGTCATCGGCGTCCGGGAGTAGCTGTACTCCTTAGGCCGAAGCGCCGCACCACGCCTCCTTCACCCACCACCCCCCCCGCCCCGCAAGGACCAACCCCCCCTAACAATGATGGACACTCAGGGTCTACTTTGCAACCTGGTTGTTTAGGGTGTTGGGTTTGAGGGGTTGAGTCTGCAAAATCCATGGCCGACCAAAACTGGTGTGTTTGAGGAGGTTGGCATACGTTGGGCAAGGCCTCCTTTTGTTTTTTCCTGGAATTTGTGGCTCTTCAAGCAAAATTGGGCCAAAATCCCCTATGGGCAAACTGGGTCGTTCAAACTGGGGAATCCCAAATCCTAATTCGTGATCCGTGAGGGACACCACTACAACAATCAGGATAAGATTGATGTCCAACGCTCAACCCTACACTTCGAGGTTAAACTTTTGCTGATGTTCTTATGTTTTTTGTTTGGCCCCCCCCCCAAACTCCCTAAAGTTCGCGCACTCAGTGCTCAGAGACCCTCCACCTAGGATTCCGATCCCCGATCTTTGCGCTATCAGTTTTCAGGGTTGCCCCTGAAAGAGGCTCATAGGTAAGTGGCTATTGGGTGGACCCCCCCCCCTCCCGGCACGTTTGGTTCGCCTCAAAAGGGGGGGGGCAAAAACAAAAAAAACGTGTTGGCTCGGATGTGAGCCTGTGAAAATCCGAGGATAAAGAACCAAGACTCCCAGACTGACGACATTCGCAACTCTCCGTGAACAACTGGTACACAAAGCGTGGAAGCAAGCCTAGATTCCTCTTCGCACTCAGCGTTCAATCGCATGGCCAAAGCAGCGCGCAAAGGATGAGCCCGGGGGAATCTTCTTAACCCTGGGAAAACAGTGGCTGAAAAGAATGGGGAAGCGACCCAAGATCCACAGGGTCACCAGCGCACAATATGTTCTCCTTCCCAGATGGAGTACAAATCCACCAAAATTCTGGGCCTTGAAACTGTCTGACGTCTGAAAGCTTTTATAAATCCAAGATACGATGTGGGTGCGGCAAAGTTCAACTGGTTAGTAGAAAGTGGGGGGCAGAAATCATCATTCAGAAAGTCGCATCTGACCTCCTGGACAAAGATGCCACCATAGTTTGTGGTTGGAAACACCCATGTTCCCCAGATGTGTGTTGTAAAAAACAGAGAGCACTTGCCTGAACTTGATGTACAAATCTGCGCAAACCTAGAGCGTCCAACCATTCTATCAGTTCCCTTTCCACTTCTCTGCCTTTCGGCTTTCGAAGCAAAGAGCAATCCAGCCAACTCACCAGGTCCGGTGGTGAGGTCTTTGCTACTTCCCTCTGGGTTCCATGTTTGTTGACTTGCAGCCCGACATCAAGATTGGGGCACTTGAGGTACCCTTTCGGGCCCACACCTTGGTCCACATTGCAGAGAACATCATCTGTTCAGAATCTGTGTATATGATATATATATATATAGAAATATATGTCTGCCCTACATTAAAAAAAAGAAAGGACCTGGACCCAAAAAAACAAGTTTTAGAGCCTGAATCCAGACCACCCTTGCAAGAGCCTCCCGCTTTTCCCCCGCTTCTCCCGCGCTTTTCCCACGGCCGCCGTTCATTGGGGCGCCGAACGGAGGGCGTCATCGCCGAGCGCCGGGCCCTGCGATCCTGCGTGCTAAACCCGCTGGGTTTAAGATAGGCGGGGAATGAGAAATGGAATGACAAAGAAGAACAACCAGCCCGGAGTTGGTTTTCTGTAGGGGAATCCCAAAACGGTTCATTCCCACCCGGAAGGTCATTCCCTACTCAGCGCCAGCAAGGAGGTTGATTAATTTAACAGTTTCCATTGAAACTGCATACACAGTGTCCATTTAGGTCTTTCTCACAATGGGTGACTCGTCGTTTTGTACGGGAACCCGCTTAACATGCCTGTAAAACCACAAAGGAAGGCACCACAAAAGAGAAAGGCTGAAAACCACGGAGGTCCATGGAAAACTTCTGACCTTAAGTGATGCCTTGGACGGTTCAAGAGTTCAAGATTCAACTTTCGATTACCCTTCTGTCCACGTTGCCATCATTTGAGGCTCGGTCCCTGTTCAAGGAACATCCTCCAAAGCAAAGGATCTCGAAACGTCAGCTTCCATGCTAGTGAATGGGCGACTACGTTACAGTTAGATAAAGGGCATTGCAGAGAATCCATGGACAACAAGACCCTTGCCAAGGGAAACTTAAAGAGGTGGTTGAAATATCACGATTTCAACAGGCTCACACCCACATCTACCAGAAAAAAATCCGCCATCGACGTTCACCCCACTCACCAAAAACCCGCCCCGAAGCCGAAGGTTTGGCTCATCGGGGGGGTTGGGAGTCCCACGCGAGAAGTCAGGTGCCTTCTTGGTGCATAGGCGCGCTTTTCGCCGAGTGCCGATAAAATAGATGGGTTCCACTTGGATTTATGCCCCACCGGTTTGTCCAAAGGCTCAAAGGGTTACCTATGTTTCGGTGTCTTTGGGGCGAGTGATTCGTGAACAGCCCCTAAAAGAGCCAAGGGGGTGGGGGGGTCAGCCCCGAAAAACCCTCGCCAAGCTGGTCTTAGGTCCAATCCTGCGCGTAAGGGATCACCGGGACGGGCTCCTGGGACACCTAGCGACAGCTTCGCCGGCAACCCTTGGCAACCCTTGGTCTCCTTGAGCTCCTTTTTGGGCAGGGCGCCCACCAAGAAACGGAACCTTTGGATTTGGCCGGACCTCAAATGAACCAAATGGGTATCCACACCAAGACCTTGCTTTCCTTTTGGTTCCCCTCAGCCTCCAAAAAAAAGAGGCCTCCAGAAAACCACGCGCCAGAGGCCTAAAGGCTCAAAGCCCTCACGCCAGAGGCCCCGTCTGAGCTGTGGGCCTTCTTCTCCTCCTACGCGTTTCGCGGCTTCCGAAGGTTTCGGCCCCTGAACGGAACCCTGATTGTTTTTGCCTGGGGGGGGGGGGGGGGGGACCCGCTTTTGCTGGGCGTTTATGATAATGTCATTCAAAGCACCCCCGATGTCTCATTTTAAGACACGAACTGGCAAAAGGGACCGAGTCGCAGAGATATCCTCCTTGTGAGTGGCTTCCCCTTGGTCTCCCTACGATCCCAAAAAGGGTCCCTCGAAGATGGAACCCGCAGAAGAAGATGCAACCCACTCAACGATTCTGCCGGAAAAAGAATTGGGATTCTCGCGAATTAGAAGCAACAACTTCCATCTTCCGCCTCGGCGAGTTCGTTTTGCCCCAGGGCGTGCTCGCGTGTGCCGCGCAGAGAAGACCCTCTTCAAAAAGGAAACTGCAAAGATGAGAAGAGCCCCTGTCAAAGCAGAAAATGAGTATGTATCAACATGGGGAGAACCCCCCCAAAATGGCAGTTGTCCTATTTTGAATAGGTCCTATTGGCTTCCCCGTAGACCAAGGTGAAAAGGGTACCCTCAAAAGCACACACAATGGCTCTCAACACACTCAAAACGGAAGGAGCCTAAAAGAGGCTCCGATCTTGGAAGCAGGTGTTGTGTTCGAGGGTATGCCCGGGTATGCATTTGAAGCAAAAATGAGAACCACCTTGATACATGCTTCGCCGAGAGGTACACTGCCCCTCGACCATCACCTCCGGTTTTGCACCGGGGACTTATCTCCTCCGCCCTCCCCGAAACCAACAGATCCAACAAGTACCAGTCGAGCCAGATGGAACACAACCAGAGACCATGTTCACCCAAGCTGACACCAGAAAGGACACCTATGGGCGCTCTCTTGTTTTTGCTGGTGGATCGTTTTCTCGGGGAACATGGCAGTCCCAAAACCCATGGCAAGGCTCGGTGGCTAAGATTCCGCACCTCACATGGGTTGGCTTCTTGTAGCAGCTCGAATTGTGCAAGCTGAAACAACTTGTTCCAGCTTCAAATGTGCCCAGGTGTTGCATGTGACTCGTTGATGCAGTTTTCCCCTTCAAAAAGGGGCCCTTCAGCACCCACTGCTGGTCCTCCCGCTCTCGCTGTGGCTTCAGACCACTCCTCAAAGTGCAGGGAGTGGGGGCACGATCAACTCTTCGCCCACATCAAAGTTACAGAGAATCTTGTGTTCTGACTTTGCTCCAAGTTTAGTCTACCCTGTATAACACTTTTGGGATAGGCCCCATGACCTGTATGCCCTTGCACCTTCTTCAGCCTTGTTGGCCCGAGCTAGGAAAGTTGCCGGGAAACTCGGGAAGCTTGCGAAGCCCCAGGTCTTCGGCTCTCATCTTCGCCCCCAAAAGAGCCCACGTGGCCCGAATGAACCATTGACTACCAACAAATGTCACCGAACGTTATTTATGTGTTATAAGGATATATATATATATATGTATAGCATAGACTATATATATATATCTCCAATTTGCCCTTGAAAACCAGGTTTCGGGGTGCTCTCAGGTTAACAACGCAAATGAAAAAAAGCAAAGCGGAGTCGGCAAGGCAAACACTGCATTCATTGTGTTGTGTCTCGATGAACTCATTCGGTTCTCTCCCTATCTGTATATATATATACATGTATGAATGTGTATAGATGTAGGAATGAGTTGTCACGTATCAATTGACATATTCATCCACTAATATATTGCGTACTGACTTGCTTATGTCGTTGTTCATGTATGCAATCTGACTCATCTATGCATCTATATATATATATGTGTGCTTTGGTATTGCTTGATCTGCTTGTCAAATTGCATGATTTTTATGGATATCTCATCAACCCCCCCTTCCCCACCACTCGGCAAACAACGAAGCCTGCTTCTAGGTATACGTGTGCTTTCTGGGAGTCCGCAATTCCGTTGGTAGACATAACATGCGCATGTACTTTGCTATATATATATATATATACTAAATGGATGCAGGCTTCTGTGTCTGTCCCAGTTGTCCAGTGACCCTAGCAGACAAAGGGAACATTATCAGTGAAAGGCATGCCAAATATGATTTGGGGCAGCCTTGAAGGGCGCAATCCACTACACAACTGTTTTATCTTTCCGCTCACCAGGCGACCAACACGTTAGCGAACAACTGGTTGGACCGTTTAATTCCGCCCCCGCAAACAATCCGGTGGGCAGGCAAAAAAGGCCCGAAAGGCTTGGCGCTTGGTGCCCCGTAGGAAAATTACCACCTCCCCCCCCTTCCCTTCCCTTCCCTTCCCTTCCCTTTTGCAAGAGAATCCCAACCCTTCACCTGGCTACATGCATTGTCTTTGGTGGAAGGGACAACACAACACCCCGGCGAAGGGAAAAAACAGTTTCTCGCGCGGAGAAAAAAAGAAGACAAGAACCTCTGATGCCCAAAACGTCCCCTGGAGGCCTTTTTTCCCGGGGGCCCGGCACCAGCAGGTGAAGGATGCGAGGCCTCGGCGCTCACGGGACCCATGAAGAGATGGATGGATGGATGGATGGATGGATGGATGGATGGATGGATGGATGGATGGATGGATGGATGGATGGATGGATGGATGGATGGATGGATGGATGGATGGATGGATGGATGGATGGATGGATGGATGGATGGATGGATGGATGGATGGATGGATGGATGGATGGATGGATGGGTGGGTGGGAGGGAGGGAGGGAGGGAGGGAGGGATGGATGGATGGATGGGTGGATGGATGGATGGATGGGTGGATGGATTGATGGATGGGTGGGATGGGATGGGATGGGATGGGATGGGATGGGATGGGATGGGATGGGATGGGATGGGATGGGATGGGATGGGATGGGATGGGATGGGATGGGATGGGATGGATGGATGGATGGATGGATCCGGGGAGGGGAAATAACTCAGATGCCCAGTGGAGTTCCATGGGAAGAGAAGGGCATCCGATTATTTTGGGCCGGTTGACTTGCAAGGAATGGGAACCCTTCCCCAAAAAAAAGGAAAAGGAAGAAACCCACTGGTAACAACCAGGATAAGGCTGCCGATTCGTTGGGAGCAGCGAACTCAACGAATTCATTCCAAGCTTCGATGTCTCCACTGCTGGGAGTTGCATCACGACCCCAAGGGTGGGGATGGGCGAAGCAAAGGGAGGCCAAAGAAGGCGTAACTGAACAGTGGCCGGGTCTTTGAACGTAAGGTCCCTGATGAAATCAAGCCTTGCACCATTTTAAAGACGTGCCTTTCTAAGCTTTTTCAAGACAACTCCCCCCTGCCGAGAGGCATTTCGCGGGAGAACCAGGCGTTCTCCTTCCACACCGGCACCTCGGGAATGAGAGGATGCCCCTGACAAATTCCATCCCTTGTTAGGGTGCAAAACCCTGTGAACTAGAGTTGCTCTTCAGAAAACACGAAGAGACGAGCTCAGACGCTGCTGAATCCACCTGTCCCATGGTCAAAACTCCAATTGGTTATGACATCCTCTTTTTTTTACAAGCATGGCAGCCCAAAAACACCCAGTTGGGGGGGGTCCCCACCGAGACGATTCCAATGAGGGTCATGGCCACAGTTCCTTAGATGGCCCTAAGCCCAAGTGAGGCTTCTTCCCACTTGCTGGTTTGCGGTTGGAAGCGCTCATCTGCTCCAAAAAAGTCCAGAATCTGATTCCGGTCAAACCAAAGCGCAACCAAGCTGACCACAATTACCAGGGGCAAAAAACACTTGGAACATACCCCGAGTATAAGTTCAAAGAGCACTGGTTGGAACCCGCCATGGCCAAGCAGCCTGTAGTTCTTGCAGGGTAACCCTTGCTCAAAATAGGGAAACGAGGTTTCACAAATGTATTTTGGTTTCTACAAAGGCAGTCAATGAACATAGATACCAAAGCCCTCAAGCCCTAATTGGCGCCCTAGGAGCTATCCCTGGATAGGCCAAGGATAAGCCTTTAAGGCCTTATCAGGGATATCCCCCCCTCCCCGTAGCCCTTGGGGTTCATGAACTCTTGGACCCTTTGAGAATAAATACCAACAAACATATGTACAGTAACTGGGCTACCGTGTGCCTGGAAGATCGATTTTCTGGAACGTCAGGGGTCAGGTTCTACAATACGGCAGTGTAGTTTTCAACAGAAAAGTCGTGTGAGATGTGTCAGAACGCTGAACCATGGCGACGTGGGGAGTGCGGTTGTTCAGGGATCCAAGAGAAAATCAAAGGCGTACCAGTCATACCGTTTCAAGAAAGGTCTCTTTGGAAACTGTTTTTAGGCACAACAAACCAGCGAAAAGCTACATAATCCTTAACAACCCTGGAAAATCCCTACAAAGATCTGGGCCCCCCCAAAGCAAAACGCACAGTGCCAGCCCAGCAAGGCCCTCGAAAAGTCTTTGCAGCATTATGAACCTCATCCCAACTTGTTCGCAACCGTTTCCCAACTCTATTCCACGCGTTTCCCATCTGTCCCAAGTTGTTTCCCGTTCTCAACGGCTACCCAACTTGTCCCAACCTTTTTCCCAACCTTTTCCCAACTGTCTCCCAACCTTTTCCAAATTTCCCAACTTTTTCCCCGACCCTTTCGCCCAACCGTTTCCTAACTTTTTCCCAACCTGTTCCCAACTGTCTCCCAACCTTGTCCAACCCTTTTCCCAACTTTTTCCCCGACCCATTCGCCCAACCGTTTCCTAACTTTTTCCCACCTTTTTCGCAGCCTTTTCCCAACTTTCTCCCAACCTCTTAACCTCTTGCCACCTATTTCCCAACTTGTTCCCAACTATTTCTCCGACTTTTGTTCCCAACCTTTTGCCAACTTTGTCCCAACCTTTTCCCAACCTCTTTTTCCAAACCTTTTCCCAACTTTTCCCAACCTTTGTCCCAACCTTCTTCCCAACTTTGCTCCAACATGTTCCCAACTTTTCCCAACCTTTCTTCGCATGTTTCTCAGTTTGTTCCCACAAGCTAATTGCCTCAGCATGCCCACATCAATGGATCAGTGCCCTGATGATGAACCCAACTCCAAAAGATTCCTTAGTTATGGTCATACTCTCAACCTGTTTTTTGTGGATTGTATGCAGCCAGAAAGGGACCCTGGTAGTGAGTGAATTGTGTTGCGCATTTTGAGGCTTGCGGTCTTCTCATGGGTCAGCCATGTCAGTTGCACTTGATCTAGCGCAAACAGAGGAAACATCTTGAGAAAACCAAAAAAAACTCGAGGAAAAAAAAAAGAACCCAAAGAACCATGGTTTAGAAACTCCAGTTCTGGAACCATGGTTCTTTTGCGTTTCTTGAGCTTTTGTTGGTGCTCACGAGGTTGTTGTTTTGTTTGGCTTCGACGTGCTTGTTGTTTTGTGTTTGGTTTTCTCGAGTTGTTCTTTGGTGTTCCCGGTTTCTCGAGGTTTCTCTGGCTTTCTTTGTCTATGATGGGTCTACGTCTGTTCTCACGGTTGCTTTTGTTGTCTAGGCAAATTGGAAGTCACTACCAGCTTGTTGGTCTTTCCTTATTAGATTCTATCTAATGTCCAATTGAGTTCAACTTAAAGTCCCTAATCCATCCCACAATACAAACTAATTACTTCCTCTTGATCATAAATTAAGTGTAAGAAGTCTATTTAAACTAACTAGAAGAAACAACCAGCTTGTCTATCCCAACCAGATGCTATCTACATTTTACTTAAATCTAATCAACATTCTAGAGACTTGGAATTCCTACATATATGTGTGATTCAACAAATGTAGTTGAGTGACTCAGAAGAAACGACCAGCTTGTAGTTCCTTGCTAGATTCTAGTTAAACTACGTTAACATTCTAATTAAGTGTTGAAAGGGAGTTCCTATTTAGACTTGGAAGGACATTATGTTTAAATTCCAACTCAAACTATGAATGCTGTTTAAACTCTAATTGAACTCAGGTGTGCAAATATGAATTCTGGCTTAGCATCTGAAATAGAAAAAGAGTTCTAATTAAACTATAATTCAAATCCTGCTTAGAGGGGGAAGTACTCCTTGATCTCCAAGTCAAAATGACAATTTGAAGTGAATTCTAAACATTTAAACTTAAAGCCTTGCAATAAAGCTTGCAAGCCCATTAGAAGATAATTCGCCATTGCCCATGGGTTTCTACTGGTTGTTCCCTCCTTTTGAGAGGCTTCAGAATCAGAAGAAACACCAAGCGTGGTTTTCCTTATTTGCTTCTTTATAAATCCCAATTTGAGGAAGCCCTATGTCAAAATACAATTTTACATGGAATTATAATTGAAATATGACTTAAACTTAGAGCGTGGCAATTTAAAGCTTGTAAACCATTAGAGCTGAAATCGCATCGTCCTTGCGCTTCTGGTGGTTCAATTCTTATTAAGGGGCAGGCAGATTAGCAGAAACAACAAGCTTGCTTTCCAGATACTGGAATTGTTTCGAATTCTAATTCAACTCTAATGCCAAACAGGAATGAAGCAAAATTGCTAAGATAATTGTAGCTACTCTGGCTTAAATTAGCAGCAGCGACCAGCAGCATCTTACAAACATCAAAGTAGAGGACCCGTCGACTGATTCAGAAATCGCAGCTACAAACACGCTTCAGCAAAGCAAGCACACAACTTGCTCAAGATATCAGCGGTTAAAATCAGAAAAAATGCACCACAGTCCCCGTCTCCAGAAGGCGGCTTCCTCTTGCCCGCAAAGTGCCTTCAAAGCAAGCCCAAAGGTGGTAGTTTTACTATCCCCCAAATAAGCCAGGTACTGGAAGCACCTACTTCCACGAAAGTCACATCCTCAAGTTTGATCCTCTAGATGGCTTAAAGGGAAACCACCCCCGAAGTAATGTTGAGAACTCAAAAGTGCTGCGCCTGACTGGCACCGTGCAGCTAGAGCCCCTCGACTCCTCGACCCTGACGAAATCACGCCAGGGACCCCTACCAGCTTCTTGAGCAGGTAGGTGCAGACGGTTTCCCTCGCAGGAGCGCTGACTTGGTCCGTTGATCCCTTGCTAAAAGTGTTCCGCCTTTTAGGGGGATATGGGGGGGGGTCGATTTTTGAGGATACCCTTTGTAGGGTGGTGTTTGCAGAACATGCCCATGTGATACCTTCCAACTCTAAACAGTCTATAGTCATGTCAGGGAACCCTGTTTTCCCCACGCAACTATGGCGCAAAACAAGGTGCCCCCTAAAAATTAAGATGAAACCCAAAAGGGGGAGTCCTCCAAAAGTGTCCTCTGCAAATGGTGGTTTTGGGTTCCCTTCTGTTGGTGTGTAGGGCGAGTACCCTTCAGATTTCCCTCGTTGAGGGGTGCAGCTTTTCCAATCAGGGGAAAATTCAAAAGTTGCACAGCTTGTGTACAGAATGCTTGAAGCGTTCCCCCGAAGAAGCAAAATCTCAACCACCTTTTAGCAGAAAAACACAGCAGAAGTTCCGCCAGAAGATCTAAGACAAGCCTTTAGCAAAGAGGCTTCTTTGGAGACCATCCACATTCCTTACACCCCGCGTGGCAAGTAGGGCCCGTTCCGCGAAATGTTCGTGTCCACATCTGGAGGGATAATTCAGATTGGGGGACCATGACAAAAGTACACCGTAAAATCCGGGACCCTTTTTTTGGTTGCCTTTGGTAACACTCAAGTAAAACCACATCCACACAACAACTTCCCAAGTTTTGCTGGGTTGCTCCCTCTTTTCCACTGACGGAGGGTTCCAGCCGGATCGCGGCCAAGAAAACCAATAAGCCATCCTGGTATCCCCAGCCCTGAAAACCCAAGCTATAATGAACCAGACAGAGCCTTGGTTTCTCCTGTCAAGGGGGAGAAGGGGTACCATTTTTGCCACGCCTCGAAAAGGAAACCAAGAGGAACAAAAACATTCTGTTTGATCGGCGGTACATTTCTCTAGGAACAGGTCACAGTCAAATCACCTCTAAAAAGTTACAACTGGTCCAACTCCAGTCATTTCCCCGTAGAAATCCAAATTCCCCTCTGGAAACCACCAAATCAGAGAAGAAGCCGCATTCCGCCGCAGAAACCGGTCAAGTTCCAAAATCCCCTCAAAAAACCGGTCCCCAGAAACCGCCCCGACAAACCGGTCAAACTCCTTACGTGTTCCCTGAGGCTTCGCCTTCCACGGCTCTTGTTCTATCCAGCCCTTTGAGCCATGCGGAAACCAGCTCGCGCATTTCGGCGCAGACTCGCCCAGACAAACACAACACTTCAAGGCCTCAAGCATTCTGGCCAAGACGGGCACCCCGCAGCGTTTACAATAAACACTTTAGGCTCCAAGCCTTCCAATGGGGATCGCTCAAAACACATGAACGCCCGATAGCATTGCCACCAACCAATACGGGATCCAAAACTGACATCTATCAACCTGGACTTTCTCAGCATACACGGAATGTCCGCGAGCCCCATCGAGCGGGCCGCAAAAAAAAGAAGAAAAAAACACGCTCAGGACGCCGGGGCCCGCCTGGTGTCTTCTCCTCGGTCAAAGGATCACCCCCACCCTTCGCCCAATCCCTCCCACCCTTAAACTCTTAGTGGGGCAAGCGTTACAAGTGAAACTTTTAGTACGACGCGCGCAAGATCCCGCTAAGCTCTCGTGGAGTCTGCTGAGGAGATCCCCGTGGTGCAGAAAGGTAGCCATTCGCCACCCCCCCGCTCCCAAGAAACGACCCCCCAAAAAGGGCAGCCAAAACGAACCCCATCAGTCCCAACAAATTCGGCCTTTGCTGAAACCATCTCAACCTTGGGATTGAATGTCGACCTCAGTCAATACGGGCCCCTCAGCCATGAGTAGGACAGCCATGCCTTGCGGCCTAGCTGCGTTCTATCGCAGCCTTGAAGAGGCCCTGCAAATGCGGCGCGATGGTCCGCTCAAACTTCTGCACCTAAAGCTCGACGGCGAGAAAGCGCGCGCCGGGCCCTTTCGATGAGCGGGAGCGAGGAAAGGAGAGCTGAGGATGGTTGCTCGACCCAGCTCAAGGTTGCGCATGTGGGCGGGTGCGCAATTGTGGTTGTATGTTTGTGCTTGTGTGGTGTTTGTGCGTGCGTTTGTGTCTGTGCTTGCTTTGGCTTTGGTTTACGTTGGTGTTTGTGCTTGTGTTTGTGTTTGTTTGCGTTTGTGTTTGTGCTTGTGCTTGTGTTTGCGATTGTGTTTGTGTTTGTGCCAGTGTGTGTATGTGTGTGTGTGTCCTTGCTTGTGTTTGTGTGTGTAATATCTATGTGTGTGTGTGTCTGTGCGTCTGTCTGCCTGTCTGCTCTTGTCTGGTCTGGGCTGGTCTGGTCTGTTCGGCCTGTGTGCCTGTCTGCATGGTGCGTGTGTGTGTGTGTGTGTGTTGTGCTTGTGGTTGTGCTTGTTTGTGTCTGTGTTTGTGTGTGTGTGTTTGTCTTTGTGTTTGTGTTTTGTCTTTGTGTTTGTGTGCGCGTGTCTGTCTGTGCGTCTGTGTGCCTTTCTGCGTGCCTGTGTGTGTGCGCCTGTCTGTCAGCGTGTGTGTGTGTGTGTGCGTGTCTGTGTGTGTGCGTGTGCGTGCCTGTGTGTGTGGTTGGCTGTGTTTGTCTGTTTTTGTGTGTTTGTGTTTTGTGTGTGTTTGTGTGTTTGTGTGTTTGTGTGTGGTTGTGTGCTCGTGTGCATATGTTTGTGCGCGTTTGAGTTCGCGTGTTCGTACGCGTGTGCGCTCGTGCGTTTGTGTGTTCGTGCTGAGTTCGTGTGTTCGTGTGTGTGTGTGTGTGCGCGTGTTCGTGTGTTGTGTGTTTGTGCGCTCGCATGGCCGTGCACGTGTGTGCTTCTGTGTTTGTGTGTTCGTGCGTTGGTGTGTTCGTGAGTTCGTGAGTTCGCGCGTTCGTGTGTTTGTGTGTGTGTTTGTGTGTTGCTTGTTCATGTGTTCGGGAGTTCGCGCGTTCGAGTGTTTGTGTGTGTGTTGTGCGTGTGTTTGTGTGTTGTGTGTGTGTTGCGTGTGTGTGTGTGTTGTGTGTGTGTGTTGCGTGTGTTGTGTGTGGTGTGTGTGTGTGCGTTGTGTGTGTGTGTTGTGTGTGGTGTGCGTGTGTGTGTTGTGTGTGTGGTGTGTGTGTGTGTTGTGTGTGTGTGTTGTGTGTGTGTTGTGTGTGTGTTGTGTGTGTGTTGTGTGTGTGTGTTGTGTGTGTGCGTGTTGTGTCTGTGTCTGTGCGTCTGTGCGCGTGTCTCTGTCACTGTGTGTGCATGTGTTTGTGTCTGTGCGTCTGTGCGTCTGTGTGTCTGTGAGTCTGTGCGCCTCCGTGTGTGCCTGTGTGTGTGTCTGTCAGTGTGGTGTGTGTGTGTGCCTGTGTGGGTGTGTCTGTCAGTGTGCGTGTGTGTGTGTGTGTGGGTGTGCATGTGTGTGTGTGTGTGTGTTCGTCTGTGTGTCTGTGTGTCTGCGTGTGTGTGTGTGTGTGTCTGATTCTCTGCGCGTCTGCGTCTGTGTGTTTGTGCGCTTGTGTCTTTGTGCGTGTATCTGTGTGTCTGTGTGTGTGTGTGTCTGCACGTGTTTGTGTGTGTGTGTGTGTGTTCGTCTGTGCGTCTGTGCGTCTGTGCGTCTGTGTGTGTGTCTGTGTGTCTACGTCTGTGCGTATGTGTGTCTGCGTGCGCGTGTGTGTCTGCAATCTCTGTCGCAATGCCTGTGTCTGTGCCTGCGCCTGTGTCTCTCTCTCTCTCTTTCTAGGTCTGTGTGCTTCCAAGTATGTATATGTGTATGTATGTACGTACGTACGTACGTACGTACGTACGTACGTACGTACGTGTGTATGTATGTATGTATGTATGTATGTATGTATGTATGTATGTATGTATGTATGTATGTATGTATGTATGCGTGTGTGTGTGTATGTGCGTGGTCATGTATGCATGCGTGTATGTATGTATGCATGCATGCATGTATGTGGGTGTGTGTGTACGTATGTATGTATGTATGTACGTATGTATGCATACACGTGTGTATGTGTGTGTGTGTGTATGTATGTATGTATGCATGCATGCATGTATGTATGTATGTATGTATGTATGTATGTATGTGTGTAGGTATGCATGCACGTAGGCGTCTCAAACTTTGTATATATATATATATATGTATTTACGCTACCCCCCTTGAAAGACTCATGTTTTCGTCCAGAACTCAAGTTGTTGCCAGACTGGGGGAACTCTGAGCTGAGCTGACAGGACGAGCAACTCCATGCAAAGTCAAACCAAGAAGAAGTTGAGCTCAACGTTCGAAAGGAGCTCCTAGTTAAACAGCTCGATCGCGAAGTGCACTTAAAGTCACGTTGGAGTCTGCAAAGTGCACTTTGGCAGCCCCAGCTCAAAAAGCACAACTTTCAGCACAAGAGTAGTACGCGAAGCATGCTTTTGCAGCTTCATCGTGCCTGCAACAGCTGTTTGGTTTCATTGTTCTGTTTTACAAGGAAACTCGGCAAATCATCCACTGGGGGAAAGGAGCTCAATCCCTACTTGCAACTGACATCCAAATCAAACATATCCTTGCGCAGTTGCATTTGCATGTTAGTTCGTGTTTTGTACATAATTCCATGTACATTCTAACTAAGTGTATGTAAATCAAACTTGCAAAGCATCTATCTCAGTTTCGCGTTGCTTGTCTGATACGATTCAACCACTGTCAAGAACAACTTTTGATATTCAAGTATAGGAAGAATATGAAAGTCAAAGCGATTTCGAGTTCAAGCCAAACTCAACTTTTACCGATTGCAGTTTCTCGTGCGTTTCAAAAGTCAAGTGGAGAAGCGATTGTCATGCCCAATTAAAACTGGAAGCAAGAGAAGTTTCACAAGGGTTAGTCCTTATCCAACTCCATGTGGTTTTAACCAAGCAAGAACTGAGCCAAACCAATAACAGAAATGTGTTTTGAAACATAGATCTTATTATTGGCATCAAATGCTGTAAAACGCGGTGCTTTCAGCATTCACTCAGATCATGTTGCCCTGGATCGAAGGCCAACTATTCAAGATTCCACAGACATCGTTTTAGAACATCCTGAATCCTGGCCCCCAACAAGCTTGACAATTTTTCTAGACTCTTTCAAGGATTCCCTCCTGCATTGAAGATTGAAGATCTCCAGATTTGTTTTTTGAGAATCGTCCATTCTGGCCAGCCCTCACGTCGCACAAAAGCTGTAAAGTGTTCAAAACACGTATTTCCCTTATTGGCAAAATGCAGGCGGCGCACATCCACAATTTGACTCTTGGAACGTGCTCTGCTTGTCCGCTTTTTCAGATTCCATACTTGGCAAACCAGGATCTGCTTTCACATCCTGGATTGACGATTGAGGATTGAAGGTTCTTCGACAACTCTTTCTGGGATTCTTCAAATATGTACTTAGGGCAATCCAAGATGTATTTACATATGCATATATATATATATATATATCAAGGTAGTTCATGGGGGGGGCTGACCATATATATATATATATATGTAAACCATATATGAAGATCGTACGGCAGCCGCTACTTGGCCCGCGGCCACGTGCGCGTCCTCCTTCTCTGCATGCCGCATGATGGAGTCCACCACGAAAAGGAGGTTCTCCTGTTACATGGCCACAGCCGTGCCAATTCAATGAATTGGACACTGGGGCTTACCCTCCCGTCCACATTGCCATGGAAGACTGACTGGGCTTGGAAGGCCGTTTGCCTTTTGAGAGGGACCATTTCTCTGGTGGGATCCATGTCAACGTGGATGGATTCATCCAACATTGGTTGGTCCTTGTTTTGCTTGCCGGTTCTCACTAGATCAAGGGTTTGGTCGTGAACCGGAAGGGAATCCCCTTGAAGGAAACCAAAACGCCACAAGGGACCCAGGGACGGTTCAGTGTGGGGTACGGTTATTCCCTCATTCCCTAGCAACCAGCGACTAGAACTGATACCATCCAGGATCTTTAGTGGGCGTAAGTGACTATTTGTGATTGCTGAGTGACCACTATGAAGAACTATCAGCGACCATAAATACCTATCAGCGACCGTGAGTGACAAGTGCCTCCTTGTGACTATGTGTGACGAACTGCGACGCTTAACGACTATGACCATGAATGCCACCGTCGGAATTGTCTGGAGCACAGCATGGTGTCCCTGTCTGCGGACACCAGCCCATCTTCAGGGGAGTAGTCAGGGATGAGAGTGGTCCGGACGAACGAACCTAACATCGCTGACCCTGAAGTCATCGACAAGCAACAGCAAGGACCTCTGCCAGCGATTGTCTGGATCAGTTCTCATCTCTTCCACCATCAAACAAACACTTGGGTGTCTTTTCTGAGGGTACCATTGTTTGGGGGTTTCACTTGGGTGTCTTTTTCGAGGATACCATTGTTTGCGGGTTTCACTTGGGTGTCTTTTGTTGAGTTGGTACCATTGTTTCTGTGTTTGCTTAAAGGGACACCAACAGGAAGGCCGAAGCCACGCTTGGGGGCACCTCCCCGAACAGACACCACCAGGTGCAATTCGTGGCCTTCCCCAGGGCTCGAGAAGCGGGGCCCCCGAAAAGAAGATCCCACTGGAGGCCGGTTTTTTTTACTGGGAAAGGACCGTGAAAAGGTCGTCATGGTAAGGATCCTTCACCTCCTTTCCTTGGATCCACGTAAGGATCCCTTCAGAACCTTTACAATGATTCCTAGTCCTCCCACCAACTACCATGGAACCGCACAACGCACAGAGGAAAGTCGCCTCCAGGCTACAGGGCTCCGTGCGCTTTCGTCGGTCAAGGGCTCCGTAACCATGGCCCCAATCTCGGCGGTTCCTTGACGGCCAGCGGGTCATCGCAAACGTCCACCAGCCGCTGTATGAAGCTCCGGACCTCGACGCCTTGGATGCGGTCCGTTGAGCTCAGCTCCGCTCGAGGGAGATCTTGTTGGGTCTGTGTGTTCTGCTTGTTGGCTGTGCTGTTTCTTATATACAAACTGCTTTTGGATCTCTGTTGGTTTCACTTGATCGTTGGTTAATTCGTTGGTTTCACTTGATCTGTGTACGTTGATCTCGTTTTACTTTGTGATTTCGTTGGCTGCGATGTTTCTTATTTACAAACTGCTTTTGGTAATCTGTATTTCTTTTGCCGTGTGTGTTATGTCTGTGTGTGTTGTTTGGGGCATTCGACGCTTCCGAGGGGGACCCCTCGTTGCCAAGGCAAACCTGACTATAAGCACTGGTATGTGAGCATAGAAATTTGGTCTCTACCGCCTCCCACTAGAAATGAACAGGACCAGCACAGCCCAGACAAACAAAACGCGAAAGTGTGTTTGCCTCCTAAGAACAGTCGAAAGCACTGTAAAAGCAGAGGAAGTCCTGAACTTGGAAGAGAAGCCACCGCCACAAATCGCGTCCCACCAATTTCAGGGCACGGCCATTCCAAGAAATGTCCCCAACCGCATCGCCCGAACTTCCCCAAACTTGCCCGGAACCCACCCAAACCCGGGATTGTCTCACCTTTTGGCGCCCAAAATCGGTGTCGGCGTTGGGCAAAAAGATAGAACCCACAAACTCACCCACCCAGCTCTCCACCGCACCCAGGGCCAGAAGATTGCCCTTTCGCGGCAAAAACAACAAATCCAACAGTTCGCGGCCAAAACGAGGGACCTGGGTTTGTCTTGATTTTCCAGCCCCGGTTGCCACCCATTGGGAAACCCATGGGAAATCTGTAACAACCCGTGTCTGGAAACCCCGCGAGAAACCTATGGCAAACCCATGGGCCCCCCCCCCCAAACCCCCCCCCTTACCCCAACCCCCCCCCCCTCCCCCAAACTCCCTCCCCCCTCCCCGCCGGTGGCGAAGCGAAACGCTCTTTCCCGAATCCGAGCCGCCGCTGCCGTGGCGCCGGACCGCCACCCGCGCCACCGCGTGCACCTGCCGCCCGGGCTGAGATCCACAAACCACCCCGAGCTTATTTGGCTGTGGCTGTCAAAACCGTTTTGGGATCCCATTTTGGTTGGTTGGTGAATTCGCCACCCATTTTAGAACCTACTTTAGTGGGGATTGAGATGTTCACTGGGAGTACGGGATTTACCCATGGCCATCTGGGAGAACAAGAAACTTGCAGCTCTTCGGGAAAAAGTCCAGACAGGGTCCCATGGTAATTTTATGATGTCCAGACATAGAAATGTCGTGACGCCCATTGTTCCCCAATGACCCCCTTACGCTAGATGATCGTAAATATGGATGTACGGATGTTCATGCGGAAGTGCACCCAGTGATCTGGTATGTTGTTCCTTTTAGGTGCCCGAAAAGTAAACAAGATCTCAACCGACAAAGCGACCATGCCTCAATATGGAAGCTTTCAGCGTTCCTGTTGGTTTGCCTTTGGCTTCCTTGTGGCTTTCGAAATCAAAACAATGGACCGCGGAAGCGTCCGGTTCCCGATTTCGCGGTCTAGCATTCCTCCAAAGTGAAGTAGCCTCAAAGGGGGGAGCCTAAAAGGAGAAGTACCCTTACAAGTAGGCTAACAGTAGCCCAAAGGAGGTGTTTCAAGGAAGTTTCCTCGTTGGTTCCTTCCTGACCCAGTCTTAGGCTAGTCAAATGCTCAAACTCCCTCTGTCAGCTTCTGCAAATTGCCACGATGCGCCCTGCCCCCCTGCAGCGCAACTTGAGGACTCTTTTGCTGGATCTCCACGCCAACATCTCGATGCAGTCGGCAGAACCATGCATGTCGTTGGCGTTGTTGTTTCTTCCAGCAAGACCAATCCCGCTAATCCTCGTAGAATCAACTCTACAGCGGGTGTTTCCCAAAAGGGGGGGCAACTGGGTGAGTTGTCGTTGAAGACCAACCCGGGCCATCCCCACGACTTCATCAATTGAAAAGGACTCCCTCAAATATGGGTTTGTGTCAAAGCAAGGGGACCCACTCTGCGTCCCCACCCAAATATGGGGAGTTTGTGTTCATTCTGCCAGACCTCTCTCATCATGAGCTCCGAACGGCGCGTGTTGCATCTAAGCTCGCGGTGCTCACAAGGCTCCGGTCTCCCAGCGGAAGCCCTCGCCACCTCGAAATCGGAAGCAACCGATGGACATTCTGAGCGGCTCCACGGCCCCAAATGGAACCCCGGTGAATGGAAAGGTAACGGGAGGCCCCAACACATCCACGCCTGTTGGGGGGGGGTCTCCATTCACATTGAACCTCCAGGTTTTGAAAGTGTTAGCGTAAAAACCAAACAAAGACCAGGGGGCTTGAGAAGAGGATCTATGGTGTCGTGAGCAAAGCAACCTGAGGTCGATGTCTATGTTACAAAGTTACCAGCTGACAAGTCACTTTCGTGAGTAGTCCTCCCTCGCACATGTGCTTTTTGTCCCGTGCCAGTGCCAGTTCCCATCGACGAAAAGGAACAGTGGATCTCATATCTAAATTATCTGTGCCCAATCTATCATGTGCTTACAGAACGCCTGGTAGCTCCTTAGCTCCCTCTTTGAAGCCAAATTTAGATACCAGCTCCGTAGCTCCCTAACCACCAGCTAGCAATGTTGCATCTCAGATCATGGAACCCTCGAGAGCGGATCTTTCCCGTAGACCTGGGATTGAGTTCATAACACCAAACCAGACAACAACCACGACCCGAAAAGGAAAAAACTAGACCTGGAAAGGGCCAGAGAAAAATGATGTCTGTCATTTTTTATTGTTGTTTATTTCTTCTTCTTCTTCTTCTTCTTCTTCTTCTTCTTCTTCTTCTTCTTCTTCTTCTTCTTCTTCTTCTTCTTCTTCTTCTTCTTCTTCTTCTTCTTCTTCTTCTTCGCACCTCTAAATCAGTGCGTGGGTTCCCAATTCTTTCGCACCTCTACATCAATGCGAGCTGGACTCACCGCATCAAGGCCGGCCAGGGCACATTTCCGCGGGAGGTACGGGAAGTCGTCCTCGTCCTCGCTCATCCTGGAAGAAAAAGCCGAGAGAAACGCGCAGCCGTGGAAAATCCCCCAACCTGTACTGGGCTGCCCTCAGATCTGCTGCTAAAGTTTAACTTTTGGTAGGTGAAATGGAAATCCCCACTAAACCCTAAAAAGCTTAAAAAAAAAAAAAAAAAAAAAAACGAAGGAACCGGATGGCTGGGAGCCACCAAGTATAGAGGAAACTTTTTTTAGAGGGGCCTCGGTTTGCCAAGCGCGAGGTCAAAAATCAAACCAAAAAAAACAAAAAAAAAAAAAAAAAAAAAAAACAATACAGCAAGCCCTACTTCTAGGTCTACTGCATCAGACAAACTTTTTGAAGATGTCCCTACTGAAATCGGTCCAGAAACACAAGCCGGCCGCTTCCCTTTGCTTCAACCCCCATTGGCTTTTTTCCAAAATGCCGTCCGGAAGGCATAAACAAGCCTACCGGACGGTGTTCTTTAACTGGCTTGGTCACGCTGAGTACTTCTTTGCTAGCTAATCGGGGAATCAACCTTCTCCAAAAGGAATACGACGCTTCAAGGCTGAGCCAAGAAGCAGCCAAACTCGACCAACGGCCTGGGAAAAATAAAATCCTTTTGTCGTATCTTAAACCATCTCAACTTGTATGGGGGGATTTTGCTGAAGGCATATTTTACGTACGGTGTTCAGGTTCAGGGTCAAACCAACCAGCAGCCTTGCAAGGGTGGTCTTAGACCGAGACTCAACTTTCATGGAGGGTGCCGTTCATCCAAATCCCTCTAATTGGCGGTTGGGATTGGTGGATTGGAGCTCGGTTGCTTTCTGTCCCCTGCTAAAAGTTTAACTTTTAGTGGCTTAATGGAAAACCCATGAGTTGGCAAAAAGTTACAGTCCTAACCTCCAACCAAAATGCAACAAAGGGAGGTTGCGGGGGTGGTTTCCCATTTACGCTCTACAAGTTACAAGAACCAGAGCTTCAAGCCACCCATTTGCCCAAAGAAAGCCCAAAGCAGGCCTGTAAGTGCTGTAGGCGAGCTTCATGAGGCAATTCTCCTTAGCTGGCAGCCAACTAGGTGTTTTCTCCGCTGATTACTCGGACAAGACACCAACTTGCAGATGCTCCCACCACATGTGGTGTGCTTTTTCTCCGGACCATGTTGGGGGATTCCGACCCTGGAGCATGACCCGAAAAATGGCGGTATCCCGTTGGTCGGGTGGACACGGGAGGATTCTGAACAGGCGGATGGGTGAAGAGAATGGGAATCGATCTTTGGGCTTAAGGGTTTCGCATGGCCCTCTGAAACTCCTTCTCCACAGCAATAACCTTACCGCACTGTTCACAGCGCCAGTTCCGCCAAGTGAAAACCCTCCCCTCGGTTGCGGCAGAGCATGCCACTTTCAAGATTGTGCCCAAATGCCGTCTGACGAACAACTTTTGCACACCTCATGCCCCCACCGAAGAAACCAATTGCGCCTTTCTCGGGCCTCGTATCCAGGGCTCTTGACCCTCGAGCCAACGTAGTGCGCTCATGACACCGGAGTCGGCGAAGCCAGTGGGCGAAAGCTGCAGAAAAGATGATCGGTATCTTTCTCTTTCTATTTGTCTCTCTCGCCCATTTCTCTTTTGTTCTCTTTCGCTTTCTCTTTCTATTATTCTTTCTATTCTGTTGTTTTCTTATTTTCTTCTTTGTCTTTGTCTTTGTCTTTGTCTTTGTCTTCTTCTTCTTCTTCTTCTTCTTCTTCTTCTTCTTCTTCTTCTTCTCCTTCTTCTTCTTCTTCTTCCTCGTCTTCTTCTTATTCTTATTCTTCCTCGTCTTCTTCTTATTCTTATTCTTCTTCTTCTTCTTCTTCTTCTTCTTCTTATTATTATTATTATTATTATTATTCTTCTTCGTCCTCTTCTTCTTCTTCTTCCTCTTCTTCTTCTTCGTCTTCGTCTTCTTCTTCTTCTTCTTCTTCTTCTTCTTCTTCTTCTTCTTCTTCTTCTTCTTCTTCTTCTTCTCTTCTTCTTCTTCTTCTTCTTCTTCTTCTTCTTCTTATTCTGCTTCTTCTTCTTAGTCTTCTTCTTCTTCTTCTTCCTCTTCTTCTTCTTCTTCTTCTTCGTTCTCTTCCTCCTCTGCTTCTTCTTCTTCTTCTTAGTTGTTTTCTTCTTTTTCTTCGTCTTCCTCCTCTTCTTCTTCTTCGTCTTCTTCCTCTCTCCCTCTTTCTCTCTCCCTCTGTAACTCCCTCGCTCTCTCGCGACGCACTCAAAGGAACCAGAAGGGTGGTCTTGCCCAAACATCATCTCGGGTTCCATATGCTAGACACTTAAAGTCTATGTTGCAAACATGCTGCAAAATAGAATCTTAGTGTCCCTGACATCCGCATCCTGATAACGCAGGGAGCCTCGGTCGAAGTTCCGCAGGTGCACCCCGCTGGCATTGGATATTAGTTTCTTGTAGTGAGTACACCCAATGTTATTCCCTTTTTGTACGGCAAACGATGATAAGATTGAAGTCACAACAAGTAGTCTGCACGCAAATGTACTCCTGAGCTCGTCCCCCAAACCTCATGTCCAAAACATCTCCTGCCAGCAGATGTTTGAAGAACCTCCCCAAAGAGGAATGTTCACCAGCCCAACCCCCCCCCCCCCAGAAGTCCCCCCAACAGGGATCCTTACATTATGCACCTGAACATTGCCTTGTAAATGATGGTGTCCCTATATTTTGGGTGGAAAAAGCCATGTTTAAAATGGGCAAAATGTATCTTTCAAGGAGCCCTGCCCCCCAAAAAAACGGATTCCGAGTTTCTGGAGCTCTCCAGCCGAGAGGCCGCGTCATTGATCATCAGAAGAGAGGTGACCACATTCTGGCTGTGCCCGCGCATCGGCCTGACTCAGGCTTCAATCGAAAGAGGTTCGAGCGCCAGCGGCTTTGCTTTCTTGGACAGGGACTCGGTTTTCAGCGGACAAACCCAAGTAAGTCATGACCACAAAACAACAACGGCTTCAGCCGCTTATGTCGCTTTTGGGG